GTTGTAATAATGTAAAATATGTGAAAAATAATGTGTTTAAATTCCTTGTTTTATTTTTGTGATTATTTTTTTTATGATTATTTTACTTTTATGTAAAGCACTTTGAATTACCATTACCCATATGACTGACTTTATTCTGCGGAACACAAAAAAGTGAACATGAATACAAATCTTTCCCCTTTCACTTTTATTATATGGGAAAGCGCATGCAGAATATTGCCTGCTCTTTTCCATATAAGAAAAGTGAAAGCGGAAAGATTGGCTTCAAATGACAAAAAAACAAAAAAAACATCATATAAGTATCATAAAAAATTACTTCTGAAGCAATATGACAGCTCTGTGTGAAGAACAGATTGAACTTATAGTTCCACTGTAGCACTTGTAGCAAATATTGCACCACATGTAAAAACTAATGGCATCTGACAATTAATAGTTTTAACACACCACTTTTGCAGTCCATAGCCTATGACTTTTGAAATACATTTTTAGCGGTTTTGACAGAAGGTAACATTACTAAATCATCTTTTATGGGTGTTTTATAGTGCATTCATCATTTTGGAGTTTGACAGATCAATTCCCATTTTTCATTATTTCTGTTCATACGGGTTTAGAAAAATAAGGTCAAGTAAATTAATTATTGCTTTGAATTTCAGTGCCTCAAAGTATAAAAATAAAACATCAAAGAGAACAAAACGTCAACTTAACATTCGTAATTCAGTAAAATGAGAGAACTTCCACTCCACTGATAATGGGAAAACCTTACAGTTAAACCACCAGCAGGCATGCACACACACACACACAGAAAAGCTTATAAGTGATGGACAGTCCGATTTTTTCCATAAATTTGTTTTCAGCCTCTCCAGTCGTGCTCAGTTAAAGTAATGCCCTGAAGGACAATATGATTACATACAGTTCCAGAAAAGATGAGTGAGCAATGAGGAACTGACAATAGACTCATGCAAGAGTCTCCAGCGGGTGAAGAGGTCAGACGCAGCACCAACGTGCATTCAAGCACATCTGTTTGACATAAGTGGAGCTCAGGGCAACAGATCATCAGTCTGAACAGCATCAGGGCTAAATCAATAACGACAACATGCTAGAGGGAGCAGAGATGGACAGTGCGGATACACCATTTGATGCTTGCAGTACTTTTCTTTCAAATGTAGCTTCTGCAGATCATTTGATTAGGAATCTTATTCCTGCCACACATCACAGTTTGAATTTCAGAGTCGTGGGTCATTTCACCAGCACAGAAATGCTCTTTAGCATGCCGTCACAACTCGACTTTGAGGAGTGTGTGCTCGTCAACACCTTTATATGTTTTTAAATGCAAGAAATGAAATAAGGAAGTAAAAACAGCTGATAAGTGAGACACATGAGAATGTGAGATATTATATTTGGACAGAGATGCAATCGTTTATTGCTACTAAAGCACGTAACACAATTATGTCACACACTACAGCTCAACCTAAGTGATCTGTTTGCACAGAGGTGACAGCCTGGCTGCTGTTTGTGAATGTACACCTGTCTGCATGCGTTAACAAAGCAACAATGACTCAACCAGAGCAACAGAGCTGAGATCTGGGCAGGAAAAACACCTCAGCCAAAGTGCCTAGGAGAGTTTGTATTGGAATAATTAATTACAACTGGGTTTTACTGGAGGATTTTTATACTCTTATGCACAGTAAGGAAAAATAAAGATCAATATCCATCTAAATAAATGTTGAAATATAAATATTATAGTATATATGATTTAAATATAAAAAATAATATCTAAAATATATAATAAATATATTTTTATGACTACTTTGTTATTGTGCTGGACCTTCTTAAAGTATAAAAGGTAGGAGAGACAGATTTTTTTTGCTCGTATTGTGACATCCTAGATAAATGGATTATCAAAAAGAAAAAAATGTAGGGTGGAGTTTTGGTTCTATTCAGTTATTGATTGGATGGAGGCGAATCTGAATGTGAGCTTACAGTCAATTGCAAGAATGGGGCGGGTTTAGACTAAATGACTGGAGAAGTATGTCTTTTCACTGGATTTTTTAAAAATTAAGGGGAAGAATTAAATGCATGGATGATTTGTACATTTACATACATACATTTAGAAAATAAATATAGGGTGCATTTTCATTTCATACGGACTTTAACTGTTTCATCTAAAACTATTTAAGGTTTGTCAGAAACCAAGCATTCTGAGAATGCTAATTAAATGTTACTTCTACATTACATCTTTGAGCATATTTCAATTTTCAATCCTCCTATTATTCAATCCTCCTATTAGTCATATTGCCCATTAGTTGATAGTAATCAAATCACTGCCTGACAGAAATCACTTAAAACTGGCAGAAGATAAAACATGCTAAAATTCTACTGAAGCATTCTATTCTCAGAACTACTCCCAGAAGTACTTAATGAAAAGCTCTAGGCTCTAGGCTCTAGGCATTTATAAACATCTTCTTTACAAGAAAAATCATCAGGCAGTTTTCATCAGAGATATTTGTTTGTAACCCCATCCTTCAAAATATGTTTAGAGAGAATGTAATCTTGGCTTGCTCCCCCCCCTCCTAAGAATCTTCCTAAGATAAATAACCAAATAAACCATTAGTTCTCCAACAAGTATTTCCTCTATAAGGACCTGAAACACACGTCTTTCCCTGAAGCCTGCCCTCCATCTCCCCCACGGGTCTCTCAGGTAATTGCATTTTAAAGAAGTTCATGTTTCTGCATGTAGATAGATGAAAGCAGGCACTGTTTTTTGAGTATTCAATGTGCTGTGTCAAAAGGTTGGAAAAATGGCATCTTAGAATTAGAACAGGGTAATGAAAGGTCAGACATTACCTGAAATCTGGGCACTCTTGTGAATAATCCCTTATGTTACACATGGTAATTGAATGGAGAAACAAGGCAGACACAGCACTCTTACAATTACCTCATCACCACTCCACCACACACACACTAAAGAAATTAAGGTTTCTAAACAATGACTATGGAAGGTTATGAGTGGGATGATAAATAACTATCATCTATCATATGACATCACAGACAAATGACAGATAATTCCTAATATGGACCTGAAAAGAGCTACAATACAAATACTTGTGTTTGTATTGTGATGGCAGTACTAATCATTGCTAAACATTTCACAATTATTAGCAACAATAATTAGCATTACTATTACACATAGTTCTGTCAACAGTAGAGTAAGATGCCCCCCACCTTATTTTTCTCAAAATCACATTTAATTAATTTTGTCATTTCATGTGAATGTCAACATGTGTAATATTCAGTCATCGATCAAACAGTGATCTGTGACATTGTATTATGTTGAATATCAAAGTTGTGTGTGTGTGTGTGTGTGTCTGTTTGTTAATGAGGGATTTTGGACACATTCATGTTTTTACATTTGTGGAATGAAAAAAATATACTATTACACATAGTTCTGTCAACAGTAGAGTAAGATGCCCCCCACCTTATTTTTCTCAAAATCACATTTAATTAATTTTGTCATTTCATGTGAATGTCAACATGTGTAATATTCAGTCATTGATCAAACAGTGATCTGTGACATTGTATTATGTTGAATATCAAAGTTGTGTGTGTGTGTGTGTGTGTGTGTGTCTGTTTGTTAATGAGGGATTTTGGACACATTCATGTTTTTACATTTGTGGAATGAAAAAAAAATATATATTGTTTTTATTTTGAAGTGAAACGATCAAATTAAACCCTTGGGGTAAGATGGCTTCTTTGAATAATTTTACATTTTGTGCTATGACAACTAATCAGCCTTTTTTTATTTATTTTTTTTTTTTTACACTGCAGGTGAATAGCGTAAAAAAAATGAACTACTAATTATCACCTTACTTACCCAGTTGATTGATTACATTGATAATTGCAAAAAATGTTTGTATTACAAGTTTTGTCAAATGTTATGTTTAAATATGCAAATGAGGCATTCTTTAATGAAATATGCGCTGATTTGCATACATTTCTAGTACAAAAATCTGAACACTGGATGAAGCCAGTTTCAAAATTCTTGTTTATTTTTTATTTTATTTGACATACTAGAGGCAAATGTTTTTACAGAGGGAATTTTGGGTATCTCTTTTTGTTACTCCATAATTCAGAAAATACTTTGAACAGCCAGAAAACACTATATTTTCACAATTTTGGGGAAAATAAAATGTTGTATATAATCAAACAAATGATATATGAACAAATCCCTCTGTAAAAACCTTCAGAATATAGACAGGAATAAAAATGTAAAGTTTGGTGTGTGTAAGCCTATACTGAAGTGGAGATTTATGGCTCAGTGTAGGAGAAAAAAACTCATTTTGAGAAAACGGCCTTTAAAAATATGCATTGTAATTGAAATCTATTGACACAAATAGATAAAGTGCTATAAAAGAAACGCTTAACAGTGTCTTTTGGATGTTTTCTTTCCACTAGTCTGAAAAAACACTTTATTAAAAGCCAAAAAGCCCATAATTTCAAAATTGACAGGTGCATGAAAAAACTGTGCTTTTGCCTGCAGTGTCTCCCCTTAACAACACATGATGCATCAGCATACTGGACATATATCTAAATATGTTACAATTTAAAAGTAAATCTTCCTCCATTTTACCCTACCATGGTTACAGTTACTGCTGTAAAACCATAATAAATTAATATGAAAATTACTAAGCAGTGAAAGAAGCATCAGAAAAGCAGAATCTTTCCTATTTTTCACCAGGGGTGGCTAATATCAAATGACCAGTTATTTTCTACAGTCGGGAGGAAACCATGGCTATTTTATTTAAGGGGCTGTTTAAAGAACGAATCGAACTAATTATTTAAATGTTGTGCACTTTTATTATTTTATATACATTTATGTAGTTTATATTTTGTACTTTTCTAGCAACAAAACATGCAAAGAAACCCAACGTTTCCTCACGCGCACTGCTGAGATCGGCGCGTATGGTGCGTGCCACAGTGTGAACAGAAACGAATGAACTTACCTGTCGAGCGCAATCGCGGTCATTGAGTATATAGAAGCGAAGACGGCGGCTATGGGGAAGAAGTTGTGGAATCGGCAGTAATAGAGTCCGAAATACCACTCGTTGTGCACGGAGTAGACAAAGTTTATAACGGTGTTGAATGCGGACATTGACGCTTCAGCGAACGCCAAGTTGACGAGGAAATAGTTCGTGACGGTTCTCATGCGTTTGTGCGCCAAAATGATCCATATCACCGTGATATTGCCCACAACGGAGACGATGACAATAGTGCTGTAAGCCACTGCCCAGAGCACTATTCTCCAAACTGGTTGCACAAACTGGTTCCAGTATATATCGGTTTCATTCTGTGCCGTGGTGTTTGTCCAGTTACTTTGAAAGTCAATGGAAGTGATGGGCGAATCCATTCCTATTGGGAAAAATGTTCAATGTTATTTAAAAAATATTAAGTTGTTCTTTTCTTTCTTTTTTGGCTTGATGTCGTATTAATGTTTAATCGACCATGTCTCCTTTTGAGAAAAAGTCAAATTATTGAGTTTCGTGACGCAAAAAGAGTTCCAAGTCGTATCCCTCAGTCAGCATTCAGTGATAAGCAAGGATGAGCCCTGTGCTTTTTCAAAGACGACAAGACAACAGATCGCAACGCCCTGCTCCTTCACTTTTCCTCATCACGAAACCAATTGTAGCTCTCGGTTCCACGCGCCTCACTCCTCTGAGCGTCGCTCGCACACACAAGCAGATGCTGTGGACACGCGCTTCTGAGAGAAAACGAAGGGACGCTTCCTCTCAAATACAGGTCTCTCTTTTTAATACGAAATTTGAGTGATCTGCATATGTGATTCACAGCTCGCCAGGTGTGCCACGCAGGTTGGAAAATGATGTTTGGTCGCGCACAGATGCTGTGCGAGCACGATAAGGAAGCGAAAAGAACAAACGCGTCATTGGAAATCCATTTCTTTCTTTTTAATTTGAAATTCAGAGCTCACCTTTTATTTAAGTTGGAAGATGCTGTGTGGTTCTTTCGGGTTGGACAGAAAAAGGCTAATATAGGTCTTCAAATGTTTGGATAACGATGTAAATTATTTGGTATGATGCGTTTTGCCAGTTCCTTTCCACATTGAATCACTTATTTATCTATTCTATTCCAACTCATTTCAATTCGACACAAAGTAATTCAGAAAAAGCTCACGGTCCCCACCTGGTGGTTTCATCTCAATTCGCGTTCAATTTAAGCTCAATATACCAGTCGGTTCAGACAATGCATGATGATAGATAGTGCTATTACAAATTTTATAATTTTTCTGATAAGTTGTATTTGGGCAGCCTCAGAATCAGTTGGGAATACTGACTGCAAGCCAACATTTACCCAAAGTAAGTGCCGTACCTCACTGATGCGCTGAATGGGCACAAATCCCATTCATGTTCCTACATTTAGTTGCAAGCCTTCCCCGAAGAGTGTAAGCTGTTATGGCTGCAAAGGAAGGGATTCATGTTTTTTATTTTTTTATTTTTTTTGGCATGTTTTATATGTTCAACAAAGAGAAACAGTAAGGTCAGGCACTGATGTTGTGTCAATTTGAAAAGTTTCCTGGGGTTTTGGGGAAAGGCTTTGTGGAGGCCTTTCAAATTCTTCAACATCAGACGAAGCAAATTATGGACATTGCTTTGTTGAGGGTTTTCTCATTCTTTTGGCCATAATTTTACTGTCATCATTCACAATACAGAATGCACACATTATTTATGTGTCCATGTACTGTGACAAAGGATGTTTTGATGCTAGATGATTCAGAGTAAGCCCAGGGGACTGCCCCTTACAAAGCAATTTTTATCATTTTAGTGAATCACTCTTTCAACCAACACTACATTGCTATGGGCATTTATTTTATTTAATATTTTTGGTGGATTTTTATAAAATAGCAGTTATATATATATATATATATATATATATTTGTGATCATTTTCACTATGAGAGGTTTTTTTCCTTTTTGAGTAAAATAAAAAAACATCCATAACTCAACAAAAGGACTCCACAGGCATGCAAATTATGTTATTGTGGAGAAAGCACATCCACATGCATTACCTTAATTGCAGATTCCTCCAAGAACCTCTGTGGGAAGCATGTAATTGTGATGAGCTGTGGCAACTCATCAGTGTTAATTAACCATGTATCATGAAAACATCTGGGTTGCAGACATCTAATTTCACCTACACATATGGGCATATTTTCTTTTCCTTAATAGTTTTTTTGCATTATAATTTTTTTAATTTTTTATTTTATTATTATTATTTATTTATTTTATTTTTGGTTGTATAAGATATTTTATTTTATGAAATCAGTCAAGATTATCTTGAGGCAACTGGATCACTCAAAAGATTGTATGCAATGCAGAAAATGTATAGCTTGGCAATCCTTTTAACGCTCTGGTCTTTTTTAAGTCTTGTGTGTACTCTACCTTTTAATAATAACTACATAATATCCTCTGGCAAGGAGCTCTGCTCAACAAATCAAGATTTAGCATGACCACTGGCTGTCGACAAGAAAGAAATCAGAAATGTAATTTCACACACCAACTGTCATTCTCATGGGTCACATTTAATGTACCTTGAGAGAAAAGATTGGGGCCACAATCTGCCCACATCAGTTCTTCATTCATCTGAAAAACATCCCGACCCTTATAAGCTCAGTGTCTCTCGATACATCTGGACATGTGTGCAAGTGAATTCAATACTTCAAATAAAAACAAATAAGTGGTTTGTTTATTATTGTCCATCCAGTGTTGCAACAGTGAACCGAATCTAATAGAATGTGGACTGGTCGTGTTGTTGCACAGTAATTGGATGTAAAATAACCGCTAATAGATTTTTAGTTCCATAAGGGAGAGAGAAATTGCTATTTTTCAAAGTTTTTGAGTGTTTTATTTTTTTATTATTTTCTCAGACTATGCAACCAATAAATATTATTTTGTCAATAGATCTTGGTCAGGGTAATGCCTTAATTAATTTTAGACAGTGATCAAAATGAGGCTGTGAGGGATAGAAGTATGCATTAACATACCGATTTTTCAGTTGGCAAAAAAATCTCAGGAAAAAAAAACCTTTTAGACAAAAATGTTAAATTCAATACAGCGTCTAACCTGACTAAGGTGTAAAGTTAAATATATATGGGATTCTAGGAGAGAGGACTCAATGCAGAACAAGTGTTAACAAGTTTATTCACAGGACGGCTGAAAAGACAAGAGGAGAGTGAACACAGTCTAAACAATAGGCCGATAAAGCTCAATGACAGGCAGGCTGAGAGAGTGGCCGCTGAGTCCAGGCCAAGATGACAGCAGGCAGGTCAGCAGTAATGGCAGGGCAGAGTGAGACCAGTAGGTAGCAGCGAAGTTCTGACAGGAACCCTTAGCACAAGGGCCTGAACACTCGTGGTCACTCAAACAGGTCTTGCTGCTAGGCAAGAACAGAGATCGGCCATAGATGCTCAGCCTCCAGGTCAGGAACAGAACAGAGACGCTGCAGACAAGACACAAGACAAAACAGAAAGCAAAGACAAATGCAAAACCACCAATAGAAAATTACAGAAGTAAAAAGCAAAAGGCGAAAACTATAACTAGGAATAAACTAAAGAACTAGGGAAAAAGCATAAAGTCAACTACAATGGCAAAATAAAGAGAAAACTAAAATAGAATAAAACCAAACAATGGCAATTGGACAGTCAGGAACAAAAGACTGACCAAAACTAGAATAAACATGTAGAACTACAAGAAGCTTACTCTACAGACTAAAGCAACAGGGGCTGCACAGTGGCTCAAAAAATAGTTAGTATGATGAACTGGCAACACAAGAGGGAAAGGGAACACAATATAAAGGGATCTGAGACATGAGGAACAGGTGACAACTCTCAGACAAACGAGGACCCAACAAGGACTAAAAAAGGGGTCTGGCAATGGGAAACAAGGAGGCAGGACAAGAGGAGCACATGGCAAACAGAAACAAAGACGGAGCCATGTACTCAAACACAACACAAACAGTTCAACATTAAACAACGACGGGGTAGACAAGACTGTCAGAGGAGACCCCTGACAATATATATATATATATATATATATATATATATCGTATATGCATCATAATATGTATCACTATGTGCCATTAATTTATCCATTAAAATATAGATTGTATCCTTCACGGTTGCAAACCTGTGCCGTATAGCACCTATTCACCTTTCACAAAGGTGTTTAGTATAAAAGTCCTTAAACGCTGAATATTACACACTTAATAAGAATCAGAATCAGAATCAGCTTTATTCGCCAAGTGTGCGCAAACACACAAGGAATTTGTTGTGGTTTTTAAGAAGCTTTTGGTACATACATGCATATATACATATATATCTGACATGAGAACAGAAACATTTAAATAAGACTTAACAATAAATAATAATGTGTATGAATCTGGAACAGAAGATTTATGTACAGATTTGTACATTATTTACTCTATATATACAGCTGTATAAAAAAAACTATGCATATGTATTTAAATAGTACTTGCGAGAAAGGCAATAATTAGAGATGGAGAATGAATTACAGGCATGAATTACAGAACACAGGTAATAATTCCTGTGTTAGCTGTTTAGGCTGGAGATGGCATGGGGGGAAAATGTTTTTATGCCTCGATGTTCTAGTGCACAGAGATCTGTAGCGTCTGCCTGAGGGGAGAAGTGCAAACAGGTTGTGTCCGGGGTGAGAGGGGTCTTTGATGATGTTACCTGCCCGTTTCTTCACTCTGGAGTTGTACAAGTCCTGAAGATTGGGCAGGTGGACACCAATGATCCTTTCTGCTGTCCTAACAGTCCGCTGCAGTCTTCTTATATCTGATTTGCTGGCTGACCCAAACCAGACAGTTATAGAGGAGCACAGAACCGACTCAATAACAGCTGATTAAAACTGTGTCATATCCGCCTGTGGCAGGTTGAACTTTTTCAGTTGACGAAGGAAGTACAACCTCTGCTGAGCCTTTTTCACGATGGAGTCAATGTGAGTGTCTCACTTCAGGTCCTGTGAGATGGTGGTTCCCAAGAATCTGAATGACTCCACTGCAGTCACAGTGCTGTTCATGATGGTGAGTGGGGGGAGAGCAGGGGGGTTTCTCCTGAAGTGTACTATCATCTCTACAGTTTTGACCGTGTTCAGCTCCAGGTTGTTGTGACTGCACCAGACTGCCAGCTGCTCGACCTCCTGTCTGTAAGCAGACTTGTCGCTGTCCTGGATGAGGCCGATGACTGTAGTGTCATCTGCAAACTTCAGGAGTTTGACAGAGGGGTCTTTAGAGGTGCAGTCATTTGTGTAGAGGGAGAACAGCAGTGGGGAGAGAACACAGCCCTGAGGAGCACCGGTGGTGATGGTGCAGGGGTTGGATGTCAGTTTTCCCATCCTCACTAACTGCTGCCTGTCTGTCAGGAAGCTGGTGATCCACTGACAGATGGATGTGGGTACAGAGAGCTGGGGGGTGTTGATGGCTGTGCTGTGAGACAGGCACAAGAGTGTAAGAGTACAATAAGAGTGTAGTTGTAGAATTCATTCAGGCATGAGTTAATAAATATGTCAATGATATGGCAGAGACTATTACTCTAAATGTATTTTAAATAGATCATCTGAGAGTTTGCCCTGAAATGAAAAGCTGTAAGTTTAAGCAGGACTGTGAAGAAAATACTTTTGAAAAATGTCAACCACAAGCTACTTGAAAAATAATCAATGTTTGTGATCACGAAGTAACATACATGTATGTTAATAGAAGAAAATAGGATTTTCTGTGAACCACTGATAGCCTATATTGCCAAAAGAAGTGAACAACAAATTCTGAAGATTAAAGCTATTGTGACTCATCTTAGAGATATATTTTCTTTCCTGGGCATGTTTAAGAGGTTTTAGTTCTTTAAGCTAGACAAACACATCTTTTTCTATTATTATTATTTTTTTTTATAAAACAGATCATCAACTGGCTGGCATGAGCTTATAAAGTCAAAGGATATGACAAGACGTTGCGTATCTGATGGGAGTCTCATTTAGCTTATGTTAAAATCTTCAGATGGAAAGTATATGTAAACAGAATTGCACTCAAGCATATTTGCATTTCTCTTTGTTGGATGTTTTAGTGAATATCCAATGTGCTATCTATCAATACTATCTATCTAATGTATCTATCTAATGTATCTATCTATCTATCTATCTATCTATCTATCTATCTATGGCTGTCTGTCATCTGTGCTGGCCCTTTAAAAGGTTTGTGCAGCATGTTGTTCTGCGGGGCGGAAGTTGTTATTAGAGTTACACCTTGCAGCTTCTGATGTGCTTTCCATTTTAAAACCATTCAGAGGAGTCTACAGCTAAGCTGAACACTTGATGGAAGTTCTCGTTATGCAATTAGACGGGTCTTAGGGTCTTTAAAAGAGACTGCCGTCTCTATAAGAACAAAAGCTCATTGAGTCTTAGCGGCATCGGCTAACATCTGAATGCATGGAAATCTCAGGCTAACTGAAACCATTTAATGCTGTCATCATGCCGTCTTACGAAGAATGGAGAAAAACCATTCACTTCTATTATTTCGTTAAATTATCTTTAAATGTCTATTCAATGCTGTTCTCGGTAAGTATACGTTTAAAATGAAAGCTGTTTCTCCCTCACATGAACACACACTCGCCCTGAATGAGTAAGCTCATGTGTTTGTGATGAACGTATAGGCATTAGGCAGTATAAATATCATGGTAACTTTAACCTTTTTTACCAGGTAATTTTGAGATACTTGGCAGTCTCGCTTTAAAATTTCACAGATAAGCTTTGTGGCTCAGTAAAGGCAATTGACCAGCGTCGCTGACAGACTTAAAGGCGCAGGACGTTGTTATTATTTCTGTAAATTCGCCACTTATTTGGTTCCTGTAAGTTATTGGCAACTGTAATAATATTGAAATTATATGAATGAAGACTTGGACACGATCTGTGTATTTTATCTCTTCTTCATCCTCTCTATCTGTATACAATGTAGATTCATAGATTATATATATAGAAGTGTCCATTAGGGATGCAAACGATAATGATTTATTATTATTATTTATTTATTTTGTTTGACTATGTCAGAAAATATTGGATATTAACTGTCCCACACTGTATAGTTAATTTATTCTTCTATTTTAAGATTAAAATAATCATATAAGCATATCTTAATGCAAAGGGAGAGTGGTAGGTTATGGCAAAAATGTATAACAGAATTCATGCACATTTTAACGTAACATTACTAAAGGTTGTTGTACTTTTATTCAAAAATAAAAATTGTGCAACGTTACATGTGCACATAACATTCAGATATCGATATTGCAATATTGTAGTGCCTGAATGAACTTTTACCTAATTAAACTATTTGTAATTAAACCAATTGTAGTTTTTTTACTGTATTTACTGTATGATCTGTTGCTTAACCACTAACAATTAGAATTTATTTCAACCAGGAACACAGTATGCTCCTTGACTCACGAGTCACTAGTGTTCTGTTTTTTCACAGGAAATGCAATAAGTCAGTGCCTTATGGGAGTATCTTGACTATTAGGGTTTTTGGAACATGTTGATACAAGCAGAAAAGCCTTTCAGGATACTCTTCAAATCTCTTTCTGTCTTTTCTCTCCCCCTCTCAACTCTTAAAGGCACAGTCTACTCAAAAATAAAAATTCTTTCATCTCTTACGCACCTTCATGTCATTCCAAACCTGTATGACCTTCTTCTGTGGAATGCAGAAGAAGATATTTTGAATAATGTTGGTGACCAGTTTCAGTTTCCATTGATGTCCACTGTATTTTCTGCCCATACGATTGAAGCCAATGCAAACCGAAACTGTTTGGTCACCAACATTCTTCCAAATATATTCTTTTGTGACATAATTTGTTTTATTTTTGGGTGCCTTATCCTTTTAAGCTTGGCTCGTAGCCTTTACACTTACTTTATCGGGCATCACTAAAACTCTACCATCTATCAGTGAACAGAAAATAATCGAAGATGTCATGAATCTGAAATTGACAGATGACAAAGTTAATCATCCTACAAGATTTATTAAATTAACTTTCCAGGAAGAAGAATCCGGGAAGAAAATTGGGAATGAAGTGGTTTCAATTAGAATGCTAATAAAGACTTTTGTTAGGATACAAATTGATATTAAGACGGCTACATCAATCTTCTTTATGATTTGCGTCATTTCATTTACATTGCTTGTGCGTTTTAGCTCAGCACTCGTAAGAATTACGTCCGTCGTCTTATAGGGCTTAATGTGAGGAACACAAATGATTCATTGTTTGGTTTTCCATCAGATTACTAAACTGCATGACTTGGTTGTGCATTAAAACATTGATTTCAACTTCATATCTTTGCTGTATGTCTGATTTAGTTATGTAAACGTGATGTTATGAAATTATGTAGTCTGATGTGACTTGTGGAGATGTTTTACCAGACCTACCTCTGCCCCTGTCCCCTCAGTTGCTCGGTCTGTGTGTGCTCTGTGTCGGAGTGTATGCAGAAGTGGAGAGGCAGAAGAATCGCACCCTGGAGGGGGTGTTTTTGGCTCCTGCTGTGGTCCTCATACTGCTGGGTCTCGTCATGTTCACTGTGTCTGTGATGGGTATGGTAGGATCCCTCAGGGACAACAAGACTCTGCTGCATATGGTGAGTGTTGCTTTTCTGGGCACGTGTTTATTCAGGAAGGATCCTCTTCTACCATGTTACAGATGAATTTTTGGTGCTGTGACTTAAAATGAACTTTTGTGCAGTTCCTGTGCGTGCTGTGTGTTCTGCTGGCTCTTCAGGCTCTTGCCCTCATCATTGCCCTGATCTTTGAAAAGACGGTAAGATGTGAATAAACATTGAGAGCAGAAGCAATGCTATGTTGTATGCTTTGTTGTCAATGAGTTTAATTTTTCTTTGTTTTTAGACAATCAAATTGTTTCAGAAAAGTATACGAGAAGGAATCAAGCACTACTATGATGACCTGGACTTCAAAAACATATTGGACTACGTGCAAGAAAAGGTTGTTTAACTATTGTATTAAAGCAAACTAAGTGAATTATACACTGCTTAATATGGTCTACGTCAAGTTCAGCCATAAATAATGTCCATCTTTCAAGTGTAAATACAGAGTTTGTCAATTACAGTCCCATTCATGCACCTAAAAATTCACAAAAATGACAATGCTCCATATTGTGACATAGCAGATGTCATAATATGGACAGATAAATGCTCAAAGGTTTACACACTTTAATATCCATATCTTTAATATGACATGTCAGAAAAATAATAATTCTTTTATTCAATATGGACACATTAAATTTATCCAAAGCGACAGTAAAGACAATAATGTCACAATTACTGTCCGTTATATCTTTTCATCAAAGAATGATGAAAAATGTACATCACAGTTTTCAGAAAATTACACAGCACAAACTGTTATCAATAAGAAATGTTTCTTGAGCATCAAATCATTAGAATAATTTCTGAAGGATCATGTGACACTGAAGACTGGAATAATGACTTATTAATTATGTGAAGAAGAAAGTACCACTCAGATTATAATTCAAATTCCTCTTTTAGGCTGCTCTTTGATCTCAATCTTGGTTTGTCTTTTCAGTTTTCTTGTTGTGGAGGCGATGAATACAAGGATTGGGAGGTAAACCAGTATCACTTCTGCAATGGCACGAGTGCTTTGGCCTGCGGTGTTCCCTACACCTGCTGCATCCGTCAAAGTGTTAGTCATTCCGTGCACTTCTCCCAGTCATGATACATTAATCAGCGCATATGTCATCTCTGCACATAGCAATTTGATGAGAAAAGCCGAAACTGTTTGGTCACCAACATTCTTCCAAATATATTCTTTTGTGACATAATTTGTTTTATTTTTGGGTGCCTTATCCTTTTAAGCTTGGCTCGTAGCCTTTACACATACTTTATCGGGCATCACTAAAACTCTACCATCTATCAGTGAACAGAAAATAATCGAAGATGTCATGAATCTGAAATTGACAGATGACAAAGTTAATCATCCTACAAGATTTATTAAATTAACTTTCCAGGAAGAAGAATCCGGGAAGAAAATTGGGAATGAAGTGGTTTCAATTAGAATGCTAATAAAGACTTTTGTTAGGATACAAATTGATATTAAGACGGCTACATCAATCTTCTTTATGATTTGCGTCATTTCATTTACATTGCTTGTGCGTTTTAGCTCAGCACTCGTAAGAATTACGTCCGTCGTCTTATAGGGCTTAATGTGAGGAACACAAATGATTCATTGTTTGGTTTTCCATCAGATTACTAAACTGCATGACTTGGTTGTGCATTAAAACATTGATTTCAACTTCATATCTTTGCTGTATGTCTGATTTAGTTATGTAAACGTGATGTTATGAAATTATGTAGTCTGATGTGACTTGTGGAGATGTTTTACCAGACCTACCTCTGCCCCTGTCCCCTCAGTTGCTCGGTCTGTGTGTGCTCTGTGTCGGAGTGTATGCAGAAGTGGAGAGGCAGAAGAATCGCACCCTGGAGGGGGTGTTTTTGGCTCCTGCTGTGGTCCTCATACTGCTGGGTCTCGTCATGTTCACTGTGTCTGTGATGGGTATGGTAGGATCCCTCAGGGACAACAAGACTCTGCTGCATATGGTGAGTGTTGCTTTTCTGGGCACGTGTTTATTCAGGAAGGATCCTCTTCTACCATGTTACAGATGAATTTTTGGTGCTGTGACTTAAAATGAACTTTTGTGCAGTTCCTGTGCGTGCTGTGTGTTCTGCTGGCTCTTCAGGCTCTTGCCCTCATCATTGCCCTGATCTTTGAAAAGACGGTAAGATGTGAATAAACATTGAGAGCAGAAGCAATGCTATGTTGTATGCTTTGTTGTCAATGAGTTTAATTTTTCTTTGTTTTTAGACAATCAAATTGTTTCAGAAAAGTATACGAGAAGGAATCAAGCACTACTATGATGACCTGGACTTCAAAAACATATTGGACTACGTGCAAGAAAAGGTTGTTTAACTATTGTATTAAAGCAAACTAAGTGAATTATACACTGCTTAATATGGTCTACGTCAAGTTCAGCCATAAATAATGTCCATCTTTCAAGTGTAAATACAGAGTTTGTCAATTACAGTCCCATTCATGCACCTAAAAATTCACAAAAATGACAATGCTCCATATTGTGACATAGCAGATGTCATAATATGGACAGATAAATGCTCAAAGGTTTACACACTTTAATATCCATATCTTTAATATGACATGTCAGAAAAATAATAATTCTTTTATTCAATATGGACACATTAAATTTATCCAAAGCGACAGTAAAGACAATAATGTCACAATTACTGTCCGTTATATCTTTTCATCAAAGAATGATGAAAAATGTACATCACAGTTTTCAGAAAATTACACAGCACAAACTGTTATCAATAAGAAATGTTTCTTGAGCATCAAATCATTAGAATAATTTCTGAAGGATCATGTGACACTGAAGACTGGAATAATGACTTATTAATTATGTGAAGAAGAAAGTACCACTCAGATTATAATTCAAATTCCTCTTTTAGGCTGCTCTTTGATCTCAATCTTGGTTTGTCTTTTCAGTTTTCTTGTTGTGGAGGCGATGAATACAAGGATTGGGAGGTAAACCAGTATCACTTCTGCAATGGCACGAGTGCTTTGGCCTGCGGTGTTCCCTACACCTGCTGCATCCGTCAAAGTGTTAGTCATTCCGTGCACTTCTCCCAGTCATGATACATTAATCAGCGCATATGTCATCTCTGCACATAGCAATTTGATGAGAAAAGCCTGCGTCACAGGGTGTTTTTCATGGATTCACCAGTAATCTTTTCTTGTTGAAGAGAATGTGTTTATTTTTGCAATGGAAGCAGTCTGACCCACAGGTCTGTGAGTACAGGGAACTGATTTCTGATCTTTTTTTTTCTGGTGAATTTAGAGTGCTTTCTAGTAAATGCTGTTCTCCATGAGTCAGTGGAGAGTGCATCATAATGGAGAGAATTTAATTTGCCTGCCCTGTGCTGCATAGAGTCTCCTCTACTGTTTATGAGTGGCCCTCTCCCTTTCTCTCTCTTTCTCGCTGAGTTAATAAATGTTGACTGGGCACTAATACACTGCTTTTCTTTTGGTATGACAGCTCACTATGCAGTGAGAGAGCACAGGCCTTTACAGGCAAAGAATCAAAGAACACCAACATGAGCAAGGCTTCAGATCTTCATACAAGTAAAATGTGTTAAAAGGGTATACGGTACTCTTATTGGTTGCTGAAAGCATAATCCAGTAATCCAAAATATGCATGGCATAATGAGGCCATAAATTAAGTGAAAATCTGTGGAACTTTCTAATTTACCATACATTTGGGTACCAAAAAGTCATTTTCTTCACCTTTTACTCCTATTACCAAAAGCATTCTCCATCTATTTCACACCATGTCATCTCATAACATGGCATCTTATAGCTGATGCCGACCTGTCTTTTATTTTTTATTTTTTTTAAGAAAGATGAGGTGAAGTATCACATTGGTACGAATTGATTGTATAAGGGGAATTGGACCGGGCTTTTGTGAGCTGTTTTTTAATCAGATTAGATGGGCTCCCTGCTCATCAGTCCTATTACAGATTCCATCACTGCAATGACCCTCTGCTTTAAAGGTTACATCAACATGGTTATAAATGCGTGTTGGAATTCCGTATGGAATCCTGTAATATGAAATTAATTTTAAGGGTCAAAGGTCATCAGAACACAACATTTACAGTTAGCCAACACTCTTCTGCACCAACAGCATCACATTGACCAAATGTCACTTGAAATAGTTTTCAAAAACTGCAATTTTACTAATGAGTTGTCTTACGTGTTTATTTCTATCAGGTCGGAGAAGTTGTGAACACACTCTGTGGCTACAAAACTCTCAAGCAGCAGGTGAAATGGAGCACTCTGGGGTTTCATTTTAAGTCCACATTCTTACAATGTCTTGCAACCAGCCATCACTGACTGATGTTAAATGACTTGCATTATTTTACATAATACTCACTCTCATATCCAGTGATGCATTTGGAAAGAATCATTTACCAGACCTTGACACATGAGATTATATTTAAAGGAGAAGCTGTGGCAGGAAAACCAAAACCTTACGATAGCCATTTCAAGTGCAATCATCTGTAATGGTGGCTTCATTCAGTTGTTTGTTCCATAGATGAAAACCCAGCAAATCACATCAAAGCCTTTACAAGCACCACCTCTATTATGCCATTATGATGGACTCTATTTGTGATATTTTAACCTTGTTTCCGTCATCAAATCAGAGCTTTTCATACCACCTGTACTTAATTTGATTTCTTTCTCTCTTCTATATTAAAGCGTGAAACTTTAGATGGAATAATTCATGTGCGTGGCTGTATCCATGCTGTGAACCTGTGGATGGGGGACAACATTGGAGCTACTATTGGAATTTGCTGTGCGGCTGGACTACCACAGGTTTTGTGATCATCTTTCCCTTCTTGTGCTTACTGTTTATTACTTATATCATCCTATCCTGAAATGTATGCATCTCTTCATCATGTACTTTTCCCTCTGCAGTTTTGATTTCCCCTGGCATTCCACATTTCCATTTTGATTGCCTACTACCTTTTCAGTTTGACTCTTCCCTCATTAGAGAATCTTCTGGCAAACAATAAATTATAGAAAATGGGTATCTGCACTGACCAGATGCAAATGCCCACTGAGGGGTGAATGACTCTTGGAGAAGCTGCTGCCCAATCTTGCTAAAGCACAAATTTTAAAACTTTTTTTCTAAAATAACTAGCCTGCTCATCTGTCTCTCTTTTTCTGTCTCATCTGGTTTCTTGCTGAGATGATGGAAGAGGTCACATTAAATGCAGCCACATGGCCGTGCTGTCACATTCCTTCATTAATGCATTAATCCTCTAATTAGAGCAGAGGAACAGTCCACTTGCACAGATATGATGGAGTGTGTGACAAAGCAGCTGTCTAGTAAATCACAGTATGTTTGGATTAATGATCTGCTTCTGTCTATGCACAGTATTACTGTATATTTTATCATGTGCTGTACGAAAAGAAAAAAGATTTGTCTTTATAAATGACAAGTGAAAAGTCTAGATTGGATCTGTAACTCTACTTTGAAAATAGTTCAGTTTAGAATTAGATTGAATATGCACTCTCAATCCATATGTGGAGGTCTCTGAAAATGCATTTGACCACATTGCAATAGTGTAATAGCTCATCTGTCCTGATGTGCCCAGGACAGCGATATAAAGATTTCAAATTTAAGAAAAAGAGCTTGAAAAGAGTCCGCACATTCAAACATTAAAGCATCACAAGCGAGATGAGAACATTATATGCATTTTACTGAATAAAACAAAGCAAACGTTTCGGTCACATTTTCAATGCCAAGCTAACAGTGTTAGAACTAGAAGCCATCTTAATTTAAGGAATCATATGATAATTGAAGAGATCACATGATCAATCAGGACACAGAGAAAGAAAAAAAAACCACTTTAGGAGCCAATTTAAGAAAAATAAATTAAAATAAAAGATATTAACTTGCCAATCCAAAAAAATAATAATAATATGGTGCTCACATATACTGTACGTGCACACTGTGACTTTTGTGCTTTGATTTATACAAAATTAACTTTTTTATTTTTGGTAGAAGTGCTGTACAGATTTTCTTACACTTTTTTATGTACACTATTATTAGGTTCAGTGTTTGAAAATGTTTTTGAAGAAAGTTTCTTATGCTTAGTTACCAAGGCTGCATTTATTGGATCAAAAAATAATAAAACCGTAATAGACAGAAATAGTTTTACAACTGTTTCTACTTTAATATATTTCAAAATGTAACTTATTCCTGTGAAGGCAAAGCTGAATTTTCATTCAGCCATTACTCCAGTCTTCAGTGTCACATGATCCTTCAAATGTCATTGTAATATGCAGTTGGTGCTCAATAACATGTCTTATTTATATCAATGTTTATAACAGTTGCGCTGCTTAATATTTTGTGGAAATCACAACTTTTATTTTTATTTGATGGAAAGAGCGTAAAAAAAACTGCATTTGTTTAAAATATAAATCTTTTTTAACATTACTTTTAATATATCCTTGCTAAATAAGTATTAATTAAAAAAATATATATATTGACCCCGAACTTTTGAACGGTAGAGAATTTTGTTTATTCATTTAGGTGACTCTTTTGCACTTTCAGCATACAATAACACTAGGTGTAAAGAGTTCTTTATGATCCATCTCCAAAACCATCTCTTGACGCTTCACAACTTTAATGTTTCTTTTAGCTTCTTGGTATTCTCCTGAGCTGTGTCTTCTGGAATCTTTTGGTGGAGATGAGTGAGTCTGAAGACATGGTGGACTTTAAGATCCTGAAACGTGTCGGTTTTGAGTACAGCGAACTGGACCTCTCGGGTGCTGGATGGTGTATGTGTCTACCTCGTGACGGAGGCTACCTGCCTGTACCTGTAGCAGAGCCTGACACCTGGGCTCCAGACCCCATCCCTTTTGACCTGGAACAAGAACAGCCCAAAATAGCCTTTACACTTCCCCAACTGGAGAGCCAAGGAGCACAATCAGGTATGGGAATGGATGAAGTGGACAATCGAGCTAAAGAACCACAAAGAAAAAGTTCTTCTTAAATATGTTCATTTTTTGTTTTTATTTAATTGTGATTTTTGCATATAAAAAAAAGTTTACCTTTTCACACTGTGTTAAGATAAAGCCAGTTAGTTGCACTACATGTTGGTAAAAATGTTTTTTACGCATGAAAAAAGGAGAGGTTTGTATAAAACGTTTGGTTATAAATGGAACCAAGGAAGTAGATCTCCACATGCTTGTATTTATCAAACTTTTAAGAACATATCACTTCAAATGCTGTTTACACAGTCCATTGTTTTTCACCATTTGAATTCATTCTGTGTCTTATGGGGTTAAGGGAGCTTGTTTTATTAGTCATTTTGTTATATGTAATAGTTCATAAGGTGCATAGAAAGGATTCTATGAACTAATTGTTGGCAATCAGTTTTTTAAATGATTTTATAAGGACTCTGATAGCTACTTGGCAAATTAAAGCAAGTCTATTTGATGCTGCTTTCCGTCCATCATCATAACACATCAGTCACATTACTTCCTGTGCAGAGTAATCAATCTTCAACCTCTCTCCCATTATTTCCTCACTGCTCATGTAGCGCCCTCACCACCTGATGAGGGGAGATGTGAATTGTTAAATAAAACACAGGACACGGAGCTGCTGTATTTTCAGTCTCTGTATTTTCTGAACACCATTAAAAGCACTGCAACACATTTTATCAATTCAACATTGCTGAAACATGAGTGACATGAGAGCATTGCAGCTACATGAAATACATTTTTAACAGGTAACATGTGCATGGTACTTTCCTTTATATTGTTCTTTCAACATATGAATTGTACAGGTATTCCAACACTTAATACACCCTTTTTACCCATTTAATATATTTTAGTATTTCTTTTAGATTTCAGAGAACTCATAACAGTAACATTTTAGAACAATAATCATCTTATATATGCATTTTATATACGCACATAATGTGAACATCACTTAATGAACTGTTACAATCGCTTTGATGTACATATCCTAACTTATTAGCTCTTCAGGATGCCATTTCAGGATTTTAGATACAGGAAAATATATGAAACTCCATTTAATCAATTCTTTCACTTTTAGAACACACATTTGTAACTGATAAACCATGTTTGTCACATTTCTCACAAATGTTATTTTTGTCACATTTCTCACAATTACATTACATCGTAGTCACGGACTACGAGAACACGTGGTCTCCATCATTAGCATAGAATGTGTGATTAGCACACGCGGTGCACAGACTCGATACAAACTTTTAAACATCCGAAACAATCACATATTCACCCTTTAAAGGATAACATTTGCATTTCTCATAACTTCAACATATTAGGAACGCATATACATTTACATGAATTTCATACCCGATGAGGGGAGATGTGAATTGTTAAATAAAACACGGGACACGGAGCTGCTGCTTCACCATCAGAGTCTCTGTATTTTCTGAGCAGCGCGCCCCCTCCCCCAAAAAGGTGAACGCTTCCCAAGAGAAAATAATCAAGCAGTCAGTGAATCCTTCAAGGCTGTGCAGGGAACATTAATCGTCACAGATATAACACTATAAAGTGCACTCGGAAAATACATTCACTTGTTTCAAGTTCAGTGTTACTCTAATATAATTTATTTGCAATTTTTTCTTCATTTACACATTTATTATTATTATTTTTAAGACCACCACACTCACACTTTCCCCTCCATGATGGCCTTCAAGAGGCTGCATGTGGAATAATTATAGCCGGTGTCTCAATGGGAGGAAATGAACTGCAGCGCTGAAAATAACACTCTGTGTGCTTAGAGTGAGGAACAAAATGCATCCACACTAGCGTAATTGTGATAATAATAACAGCATTAATAACAGTAATTAACAATTGCTGACTTGATTGAGGCTCAAGGATGGGTTCTCGGTTTTGTCAGATGAATTTGTCAGCATCCAATGCATGAGGCTAGGAGATCAAGTGATGCACTGCAGATGAATAGCCAATACTCAAGTAGATATTTTGATCCATCTGGGATCCGGAAAAGCTGATTGGGTTTGGAAGGTGGAGAGAGTATCCAAATCCAAACATTGAAGTTCTTGAGAAGGATGTGAGAAAACCTGATTTATTAAATTAAAATTACATTTAATAAATCAGGCTCTGCTCTAAAAAGCCATCCAGGATGTAGACGAGTTAGTTTCTTCATCAGAATAGATTTGGAGAAATTTACATCACATGGCTCTCATTCTGACGGCACCCATTCAAGGAGCTCGTTGGTGAGCAAGTGATGTAATGCTAAATTTCTTAAAATTGGTTCCAATGAAGAAACAAAGTCATCTACATCTTGGATGGCCAGAGCATAAGAATATTTTCAGAAAACTTTTCCTTTATTAGTTAAATAGAGGCACTGCAGGGAACCAGAAAGAGAGAAAAGATCAGGTTTGGAAAAATGGAGGAAAAATATTGTTTATACCCTCCCCGAGATTTTGATGTGGTTCAAATTGACATTTAAGAAGTGAAGTGACATGTGGACAAGTAAGGTGACCCATACTTGGAATTAGTGCTCTGCATTTAACCCAAGGTTAAATGCTCAAGGGCACCTCAGTCATGGTATTGAAGGTGGGAGAGAGCACTGTACATTCACTCCCCCCACCTACAATCCCTGCCGGTACGAGACTCGAACCCACAACCTTTGGGTTACGAGTCCAACTCTCTAACCATTAGGCCCGACTTAACTCTATGTAATTACGCTTATTGGTGGACAATTAGGAGTGACCCAAATATCAACATTTTCACACAGTAATTACTATGCTGCTCCTTGAAAGTGAAATACAATATTTAAAAAACAGAGCTGTTTGTTTGTGTCTAATAGAGGGTGAATATGGCTCATTCTGGCTGCAGCTTAAAACGCTTTGTCTCTTATCTAAGTAATGAACTCAGCACATCTATCTCTGTGGGGATCGTGAATCGCAGCAGGCAGTTCAAAGGGGAAAGTGTTTGCTCTACAATAGGGGTTTGGAGGTTTGGTTAAAATCTGGATGAATATATATATATATAGCAGTGTTGATCTGAGACCAGCATCTTTGAAATAAACACTTTAAACGTCAAGAGAGCACATTATACATTAAAAAGCTGCAGGGCATTCAGTTGTTTGTTTTGTCATTAGTGAAATGACTAAAGGGTAGGGCCCAGGGTGGTTGTAACGCGAATAACTTAAAAAAAGGCCTGTACCCAGAAGGAACTTTTAATATGTCCAAGAGCATAAAGTAATGTGCAAAAAAGAGTTAAAAAAATGACCCTAATAAGATAATAAATAAGGGTGCAGTGTAAACTGTAAATGATAGAAAATGGGTTTAAAATTACAGTGCTGGTTTTCTCAGTAGAATAGCCAATTTTCTTCCCTTCTTGTTTTTGCATAACCTGCATCTTAAGATCAAAATATTTGAATCAATCATTGCAGAATTTATTGTAAGTTGGTGCAAACATCATCCAAAGTGTTAATATTTGGAGTTTTCATTTTACATTTAAGACTTTGTTTTTTTGGGCATTCATTCATCTGAAGTTTACTAGAAGTTGTAATAGCTATGCACTGCGTTGCCTTGCTATTATCCTTGAGGTAATGCATACCTGCTCACCTCATCTCATCATCTTCTGACAAAAAACCCATATAGTGTTATCACCGAACGAATCAGACTGGGACTGCCATGCTCCAGACGGCAGAATGAATCCAATCTTGCCAATGAATATCATTGAGTGTCCCTGATTACCCACACAAATGCAATGGATTCTGTCCAGTATGCCATACAAAGAAAAATGGCTTTTCATATGCGTCAACATGAAATTTCCTCTGGAAATATTCAGTTTGCACAGATGATTGAGAGCTGTCTGTTGAATGATGAGTGGGTTTCTGCTGGCAGTTATGTGTCCCTGATGAAGGACCTTGTGTGGATGATGAAAGAGTGACAGTGGGTCACGACTGACATTTAATTTATTGTGGCCTCCAAAATTATTTCTATATTTACATTGACAAAATATATGAATTTCTTTGTGTTATATTTTTGCAACATACCACAGACTGTTATATATCAGCAAAATCAAGAGTACTGAACATTTATTGTGCTTATACAACAGCTCAAAAAACAAAACATTAATATCCCATAACTTCCATTTTGACACAATTTGTCAGTTCATCAAATTTATATATATATATATTTTTTTTTTCTCTGAATATTGTTTCAAGAGAAGTCAAAGCTCCAAGCTTTCCGTGTCATCAAACAGTACTTCTTGTTATGTTGTAAGTTGGATACAGAAATTGGTAAGACTGTTAAGTTGTTAAATTATATTTGCACACTTTCCAATTTTCTTTGTGGAATATGTCCATAATTAATGTGTTGTGCTACATTTGTTCTTATACTCTACTAGGACATATGTGTTAACTTGAGGGGACTTGTTTCATGTCCATTAAAATTATAAGACGATTTGGTTAAAAGTAATTGCAAAAATGACTCATAAAAGTGGTGTTAGCTCGGAGAACATTTCAGTGTGTTTGCAGATATCACTTGCTTTGATATTTCATTTTTAATGCAGAGAAATTAACTTTTGAGTTTGAGTAAAGTGTCCAAATAATTGTTGGGTACTGTATATAGTGAAAATCAAATCATGTAAAACAGCTTATGTGTGGCTTTTCTGGGTTCTGCAGTCTTGTTGAAATATAGGCAATATGATCATTTTACTATATCTTTATGGTTTCCAAATTATGTTAAACTGAATGAGTTAAAGGTTCCAAGTAAGTGTTAATCGAACAAGCTTTTTGCAGCCAAAAGACTTTGAAATGACCAGAATTGGTCTCACAAATCTTTATTACCAAGATTAGTCCAGGTCAACAGGAATTGCAAAGGATAAGGTCATCAACCAATGAGTTTTAAGTAACACAGGTTATCTTGAGTCTCTATTTGTTATTCATTGTGTGTGTGTGTATGTGTGTGTGTGTGTGTGTGTGTGTGCTTTGATGGCCTCAGTTCAGCATCTGCTATGAATTGGATTTTTCTTGGTAGTCAATATATGTCAAAGCACATATCCTGACATTATCCTGTCATTTGTGTTTGTGAAAAATGAAAAAAAAAAAAAATTTGCTTGAGGCCACAAAATTGTGTATCCCAGCCGTAGGAGAGAAGTCACAGAGTGAAAAAGAAAAGCAACTGTGTAAGTATTGCCAGTTCTGAAATGTTTGTAGCCAACATTCATTGACTAAGAATATGAAGATAATTATATTCTTAAAATATCCATGTTTTAAATGCATTTTTTAAATAGAATAGGAGGTTGTGGCCGATTCAAACAAAAGACTTAATGAAAGTCAGTGAAAGACTTGACATTTTCCAACATTCTGACACAACCAATTGAAAATGTTTTGGATTTAATGTCGGGATACCCGCTCATAAGGAGTGAATAGTCTGGTTAAATGAACAGATGTGGACAGGAGAGTGCACAGTGAGTCGGTAATGTCCCTCAACACAGCTCTCAGTGGTCCATTTGCCTGAGTCCCAGTTATCTACTTATCGACCTTGTCACCAGTCCATAGCATTGACTCACACTTTGTGGATGTGTTAGCATGAGTGGGTGTGTCTGTGCATGTGAGGGTGATTAACTGGAAGTGGGTTACAGATTAATTCTGTAACATGTTCAGTTTTTGTCCTGTGTTCCATAGAGCTGTGCTCCTCCGTGATTTCCTGTATTGATGAGTCCTTTTGATTAGCTTTTCTCCTCTCCATCCGTACACTGCTACTGAGATCAGGTAGGACTTTTTACCAAGCATGTATTTTTAAGTATGAAAACAAAACTTGCTTTGTGTAGTAATTCTTTTTAATAAAGGATAATGGGGTGATCCATTGAACAGCATGCAATTTGGTGTTAGGGTTATGTGACACTGCTGTAAATGTTTTTTTTCTGCATTTGGTTATTTGAGAGTCTCTGCTGCCCGTGTAAATCATTGTTTGCACTTTTAGTCTTTACGGTTTTGTGTTTTTGAGGTAAAATGACCGCTCAAATGTAATTTTACAGATATGGATTACTGTGGCTCAAGGAAGTTTCAAATACAGTTGTTTTTTAGAAACTTTTCACAATGTTACAAAAAATGTATATTCTAATTCAAATACGTTTCTGTTCATCAAAGAATCCTAAAAAAATGTATCCCGCTTTACACAAAAATATAAAGCAGCACAACTGTTTTCAACATTGATAGTTTGAGCACCAAATCAGAACATTAGAATGATATTAGAAGCATCATGTGACACTGAAGACTGGAGAAATGGCTGCTGAAAATTCATCTTTGCAGGAAATAAATTACATTTTAAAATGCAATTATTTTAAATTGTCTATTTTAAGTTATTGTATTTTTGATCAGATAAATGCAGCCACGGTGGCTTCTTTCAAAAACATAAAAAAATCTTACCAACCCCAAACTTTTGAACAGTAGTGTGTGTAGAATAAAAGTTAGAAGTAGAAGCAAAACAATTAAAAATGTCATGCAGTGATGAGTGATGATATTTATCTGTACTCATTTTAATGCATAAGATAATCCGCAGATTTGATAAGATAAAACACTTATTATTACTGAATCAGATTTCATTTAACATGATTAATATATTCATGTTTCTTGTCACTTGTCACTTGTCATCTTATTTAGGGGGTCCTGTGAACAAGACCTATTTCAAGCATTTTAATTACTGATTGACACCGCAAGGTTCAGTTAGATGTTTATTTTAATGTCTTCATCCCATGCTGGCAACGAAATGTAAAATGTTCATGGAGAATTAACGCTGACAATACTATAAATCTGAGTGTTGCTCCTAAACTAATGAGCAACTGAAACAGTGTGAAGGAAAATCACCAATTAATTTTTGTCATTGTGGGTCAGTATAGACAAGAGTGCGAGTGCCTGACGTGAGAAAGCGAGTAGGGAGGTTAGCAAAAAGAGAGTAGAGCGACACATGCAGGAAGAGAGAGAGGACACTGGGCCAGTGCTGTAAGTGGGTTGAGTACAAATGGGGACCCATTGATTGAGCCTGTGAGTTAGAATGGCCGACAGCATTTCTCTTTCTCCTCCTTTCACCATTGTTCTTTCTCTCTTGCTCTGCTGGCCATTGGGTGTGAAGGACACCAATGTGACAACCAATTATCCCGTTTGGAACCCAGCAGAGCTAATCAAATGCAGCACCATGCCTCCTTATTATCATCTACAAGTTTATGATTCCTCTCCTGAGCAAGTTTATTACTGATCTGAGCTAGAACTATAGAGCAATCCTATGAATAAGTGTTAGAGAAGTAGGAACATTTGGGGAAAAAATATAATTACGGGGCATAATATATTAACTGCAACTTGATTACTTTAGAGGATCTCAATCAATATAAATGATCATGTTGATTTTAATAGTATATTCAAAAGTTTGGGGTTGGTTAGGTTTTTAAAAAAAAATTTTTAAAGTCACTTCACTGCATTTATTTGATCAAAACTACAGTAAAGACAGAAATATTGTGAAATATTATTACAATTTAAAATAACTGTTTTCTATTTAATGTATTTTTCATTGTCATTTATTTCTGTGATGGCAAAGCTGAATATTCAGCAGCCATTACTCCAGTTTTCAGCGTCACGTGATCCTTCAGAAATCATTCTAATATGCTGGTTCGGTGGTCACATAACATTATTTAGTATTATCAATGTTGAAAACAGATGTGCTGCTTAATATTTTTTTGTGGATTTCATGTTTTTCATTATGAATAGAAAGTTCAAAAGAACAGCATTTATTTTCAATAAATCTTTTGTAACGTTATAAATGTCTTCACTGTCACTTTTGATCAATTTAATGCATCCTTTCTATATAAATGTGTTAATTTCAAAAGCTTTTGAATGGTAATGTATTTATTTCAAATTGCACAGGAGACTGATTTAGAACAATAAACAATTTGCACAGTGTAGTGTTCAAAAAAAAGTATGTTGCACATTTATTGGATTGTATCCAGAATATGTGTAAAAGCCTGAGAGAGTTGTAATTCAATTTCACAGTAATTCAGCTCCTAAAACGTAGAAGTTTCATTTGTGCTGAATAATGGTAAGTGCATATCAAAATCATAACCAGTGAAAAATTGCTAATGGCTTTATAGTGAAGCCGCTGGCCTTGCAGTTGGACTGCATGAGTTTTCCTCTGGTCGTGTAATTATGTATCTTTCCATCGGTCATTTGTTCTGGTAATTATTTCACTATTGATCTGCTGTTGGCAGAGATTCAGCAAACAGCTCAATGCCCAGTGTGTGCCACTGCCGCCAGTCATGCCCCTGACCTTCTGTTATGCATGATCAAAACTCATAGCAAGTTTATATTTTCAAGATGTTACAGAAATACACATTTGGTTTGCATACTTTTTGCATTCTTTCTTTGACATATTTATAAATATGAAATTATCTTTTTTGTATCATCTCAGGATGGATCATGATCGAGACATGGGCAACAGTCGTCACCGTTATGATGAGGAGGAGGGTGAGTAACCTTAGGCATGAAACCACAAACACACACACACACACACACACACACACACACACAAATACAAGAGCTGAATGGTTAATCAGGTGATCAGGATGACAGTAATTACATGTTGAGCTAATTTAGGACATTTTACCCTAACTCATAGTTAGGTTGTAAAAAAACTGAAGACAAAAGTAAAGTGAAATATTAAACAAATAAATGAATAAAAAAATAAAGCTATTATTTAAAAAAAAGAATTATTATTATCATATCTTCTAATGAATAGATTTTGCAATGTTAGATAAAGTTACAAACAAAATGGGGTCATTAAATATTAAAGCAATGCACTGTATGTAGTTTTGTGTGTTTTTGCCACTTTGGAGTCCCCATACGGTTAGTGGAATAACTTGCATACATTTCTCACATGAAATTGCAGCAATAACGAACAACAATGATCCACTCAATTCCTGATTGACAAAATCAAGTCCCACTCTCTATATTTTTTCTTGTTCGAGAAGTCATTTCACTTGAATATATATGTCAAAATAAGGAAGAAAAGACTATGGATATACAGTACATAGCTTATATAAGTTTGTAGATATTTGTTTTAAGGTTACCCTTCAACAGCTCCTAATATTTACTGAGCAGCTCCTGAACCAGAAACAAGCTTTTTACCCCACTCACCTTTTCTTTCCATTATCTTTTCAAGATTAGACAGGCCCAATTCAGGAAATAAAGTGTCACACACATCCTGCCATTTTGCCATCTCAAAGAGACAAAAAATTTAACATCACACAAAGCATTTTATGTCCAAATTAGTGAAGTTATTATTACCGTGCCAGCAGCTAAAATTGTTTTTCACATTTCCTCTCACTTTCACAATTAACCAGACAGTTTTTCCTCCTCCACTTCACATCTCATAAAACATCAAATAAGACGGGGGATAATTATAGTTGTGACATGAAATTACAAAAGCAACTGTTCCCTGAGGGAGAAAATAATGTATGAAATGTACTTTTGACTGAATCTTGGGAGTGTTCTCTGATTGTTTATGTTTTTGAGTAAAACAATATTAATTAGTCTTCAGTGTCACAAGATCCTTCAGAAATCAATCTAATATGCTGTGTTGCTGCTCAAGAAACATTTCTTATCATTATCCATGTTGAACAGTTATATTTGTGTGGAATGAGTGTTTCCAACAATTGCTTTGCTCTAATAATTAGATGAATTACCAGTTAAGAGTGAACTTAAACAGTATTCTTACATTTTGCTTAGTCATGTGCTTTTATCAAGTATTTGTACTTTGACAGAACTGGAAGCTTATTGCAAATGAATATAGGCCATTTATTTATTCTACAATGTCAGTATTAAGGGCTACTGTGTCAATAGATCATGACACTTGATCTTGATCATGTTTGCTTGAGTGGGCAGAACATTTTTTATGGAGCATGAAATTACTTTTCAAAATCAATGACATCCAAGACATTGAACTACACTCTTAAAAATAAAGGTGCTTCACGATGCCATAGAAGAACCTTTTTGTCTAAATGGTTCCATAAAGAACCTTTAACATCTGAAGAACCTTTCTGTTTCACAAAAGGTTCTTTGGGGCGAAAGAAGGTTCTTCAGATTACAAAAAGGTAATAAAGAGATGGTTCTTTAAAGAACCTTTAACTGAATGGTTCTTTGTGGAACCAAAAATGGTTCTTCTATGGCATCGCTTGAAGAACCTTTTGAAGCACCTTTATTTTTAAGAGTGTTTACGTCATTAACCTTCTTATCAAAAAGTGTTGCGTCTTCCACAGATCATCAGTCTATCTACATTGGTGTGCCAGTGCCTCCCGGTTACCGTCGCAAACGCAGGAGGAGACGTTCGTCCATGTTGAGTCATGATGCAGATGTAGAACGAGGACTTAGACACGACCATCAGAGACACGAACACTATGACTGTGATAACAGAGACCGGTACGATCTCGAGGCAGGAGGCCTGGATCAACCAGAACACAATCTGCCACCAGACATCAACAGAATCAGTGAGTCCTTAATCAGTTCCGTCCGAAAAGAGCTTAAAGTCATTCATATTAGTGATTTGTAAAGTGTGTCCAGTATTACATGATATGATGATACTTATGATGATCATATGATGATGTCTTGTGACTGAGCAGGATATAAACTTAAAACTTTACCAACACAGAACTTTCCACAAACTTCTTTATTGCCAATATGGTGAACCAACAGACTGGTGATCCAAAAAAACAAACAAAAAAAACAGGTAGAATCACAATGGATTCTATACATACAGGTGCAAAAGATGGGAAATGGTTCAATTCAAGTGCTCTGTTAGACAATAGACTCAAGGAAATGTATCTGAAAGTGAGAATGCAAATTCAAGGGGACTATAGGGAGCAATACTACCATACATTTCTTTGTTTGTGTGTGTGAAATAAATAGAGTTGTGCTCTGTTTATTGGATATATTCCCCGCACCCGCACCCTCAGTCTCAATATCATGATGTGCCAAAGGCAGGATAGAGCCGTCACTGCAGAATAGAAGACCATGAAAAACAATTATGGTGATGCATCTCTAAATGCTTGAGAATAAACAACTTGCGGGGCATCAGAGTTTGCAGTCAGCATTGAATAGAGAAATAAGCGCACGTTTCCAAGAAAATGATTTTCATTTGTTACTTTTATGCTAAATGATGGGTCATATTGCAGGTCAAAACAACATCCCATGCTAAATAACATTATTAATGAGTTCTGATTTATTAGGTACGTTCAGAATAGAGCTGATCAGTAATCCCAGTAGAGATTTAAAAATTAGCCATGGATTTTCTAGGGAATTTCTAATGGGTTTTTAGAGAGGTGGTTTTTGATTTATGAAGAAAATAACAATTATACCTCAAACATGAATTTTGAAGTGGCTGTGTTTTTTTAGATGCTAACAGGTGCTATTTTTTAATATTATATTTATATTTATATACTATTAGTTACACTCTTAAAAATAAAGGTGCTTCACGATGCCATAGAAGAAAATTTTTGTCTAAATGGTTCTATAAAGAACCTTTAACATCTGAAGAACCTTTCTACTTCACAAAAGGTTCTTTGTGGCAAAAGAAGTTTCTTCTGATTATAAAAAGATAAGAAAGAGATGGTTCTTTAAAGAACCTTTGACTGAATGGTTCTTTGTGGAACCAAAAAATGGTTCTTCTATAGCATCGCTTGAAGAACCTTTTGAAGCACATTTATTTTTAAGAGTGTAGCTGAATTAGCTTTTATTTGTATATTTCCAGTTTGCATTTTAAATTTAGCTTAAGTTTTAGAATTTTTATGTGCTTTTTTTGTTTTTAACATTTAAAAAGTGGCAACAATGATATGATTTTTTATGCTCTTGTCGAACCAGACAACTGTGGAAGTCTATGCTACTTGTTAGCAGCTTATGTTTAAAAGAAAATCACGTTTGATTAATTGAGATACGTAATTTCATGTCTTGAAACAAAACATGGATGTTTTTTCAAATAAATTTGAACATAGACCTTATTTTTTTTATTCATTATTTAAAAAACACCGTAACAAAATCCATTGGAAATTAAGGGAACTCATGGCGAATTAGCCTTCCTGGTTGGCCTACAAATGAACATCATGACTAAGCAGTCTAAGCTCTATGACTGAAAACCTTCCAGTTTTTCAGCACTAATGCCATGGACTAAATAAAGGCCATAAACTCCTTTGCAGCTGACATGGAACTCAGTGTTATTGATCTTCTTTCTCTCTCTTACTCTCAGCTGTGAGTAATTAAACTTCATCACACTTCAGCTTCAATAGACAGACCACCATTTGTAACAGCAAATATTTTAATATAAATATTTCAATCCTGGAATCATTGCTGGATTCATGCATTAATGAACTTTTTTAATAGTTCTGCATTTAACTTCAATTTAGTCAGCTGCTTCTTAGTAATCAAATGTTCACGTTTCATATTGCTGAATTATGATAGCTGAATTTGCATTTTTGCCACTTGCCCATTTAATAAAGCTGTCAGTTTCTCTGTCAGCTGTGTTCTCAGTGTTTAATCTAACATGCTTCTCTTCACACATGTGACCCTGGACCACAAAACCAGTCTTAAGTCGCTGGGGTATATTTGTAGCAATAGCCAAAAATACATTGTATGGGTCAACATTATTGATTTTTCTTTTATGCCAAAAATCATTAGGATATTAAGTAAAGATCATGTTCCATGAAGATATTTTGTAAATTTCCTACTGTAAATACATTAAAAATTAATTTTTTTTTTACAACTTTAAAGGCGATTTTCTCAATATTTAGATTTTTTTGCACCCTCAGATTCCAGATTTTCAATAGTTGTATCTCGGCCAAATATTGTCCTATCCTAACAAACCATACATCAATGGAAAGCTTATTTATTCAGCTTTCATATGATGTATATATCTCAATTTCGAAAAATTTACCCTTATGACTGGTTTTGTGGTCCAGGGTCACGTATAATGGACTGGAGGTTTAAGGACCCTTCTCTCACTTGTGAAATTTCACGCAGACACATCAGCACTGGATGACACTCTTTGTCGGTTCTTTATTATGCTGGCATCTCATTCACATATTAATATCTATGGGCTTCTATTCTCCACGTGTCTTCCTGAGGCATATCTTTAGTCCTCAGGAAGCCTGTGTGTGGCCCATTTGGATGGAGGATTAAACAGGCAGACATGATCAAACCGTAGTTGGAAATAAAGATGCACCTAATAGGTGTTAGAGCTGAGAAATGCTGAGCATAGAAATGAGAACAAATAAAGAACAGAAAGACCCAGACGTTGCCATATACTCCCTGGCATCGCCTCAGACAAGCCCAGAAAAACAAGCACAATGTGGATTCACGTTCAGGTTCAGTCACAGCTCACAATTTTATTCCTCACACACAAAATGAATGAATAATGGCTTACACTGCCCCGGTTTTCCTCCAGGCACAGTCAGCCATCACAACACCGGATCAAACATACACAGTGGGTGTCCTTGTTGTTTCTTCTCAACTTTTGGGCAAATACTTTCACTGTGTGTGGTGCTGCATGCAGTGCACTTTTTATTTATGAGGGCCATCTCATTCTACTATCTGACTGAGCGAAACCCAAACAGGCAAGTTTTCAATCACTTCTCTTCCTGTTCATCTCACAGTGTCCCCAGCAGCAGAGCGGCTGCGCTACATTTTGGGGGATGATGAGGACACCATGCCCACACCCACTCTCTTCACTGAGATGGACACACTGCAACACGAGGGCGATGAGCTGGAGTGGAAAGAATCAGCTAGGTATAAAAACATACACACAAAGGCAACACAAATGGCATCAATAGTCTTATACCTATTGCAAATTCAAAATCATTGTAATGAAAAGTTTGTAATTTTGTAATATTAAAATACTCCTATGTCAGCTAAATACACAGCAGAAATTGTACAATGATCATATGGGTCTGCATGGCACTTTCAAAACATTGCGTAGCTCTGTAGCCATAAAGCTTCCATGCAGGGATATTATTGTTAACTAAAATGAAATCTTAAACTGTTAAAAACATTTGTGTTAATTGAAATAAGGCTGAAATATAATAAAATATAAATATTAGATAAAAAACTTCAACTAAATGAAAATTTAAAATGTTGCAGCTAACTGAAATACAGTTGAAGAGTTAAAACTAAAACCGAATTACACATAACTTAAACCTAAAAAGTAATAAATAGTAATACAAATAAAATAAAAATGACACAAACAAATTGCTAAAAATTAAACTAAACTTACAATGAAAAATAAAAAATAAAAACCGATAATTTTAAAATATTAATAATACTACATAAATAATACTAAAATAACACTAATTAGTTCTTGCATATGTACTGAGCTGTACCAAATGAATAAAACAGCAAAGAATATCATATTTATGTTTATTTCATCCGAATGCACAGATATTTGTAATTTGATATTTGTAATTTTGCAGCTGAAAACTCATCTCTTTCGATGCTACTTGACTTCATCCTAAATAATTTTTTTTTTAAAAACTTTGTCTTTCTTTTCATTTATTCCTTCCCTTTCTAGCTTGTACTTATTTGAATAATGCCTAAAACGTAGTATTACAAGCACTTCCTGTGTCTGTTTGCCACTTTATTAAGAAGAATCGCTGTATGTATTCCCCAATTGTAAGTCAGTTAAAAGCCTCTGCAAAATGACTAAATGTAAATGTAAATTTTTAACATTTATAAATGGTGCTTTTTGCCCCCAAAATTGATTTAGCCCATCATGTCATAGCAAGAGGGCATAAAAACATGCCATTGAAGCATATTTCATATATATAATTTCTACTTTATGTTAAATGTTACAGAATTTACACATTTGCATTGAATTGTAGAGAATATAAGTGAATTTCATATAAAAACATGTAATTTTTAAATGTAATATGGTTGGATATAAGGCAACATATATTTTCAGCCCATGACCAAAAATCAGACTCATATCAAGTTTGATTTATGGCCCTTCATACTAAGGTTTGGGCACTTCTGCTTTAGTGAGACAGACATTTCACAATTCACCTTAAAATAAACACAGCATCTGGACCAGAACAACATCAGAAACGTACTGTTCCTTTTTTCTCTGCTTGACTTCAACTTTGTGTGTGTGTTACTGTGCATATCTGCAGGTGGGTGAAGTTTGAGGAAAAGGTTGAGGAAGGTGGTGAGAGATGGAGCAAACCCCACGTTTCTACGCTCTCCCTGCACAGCCTGTTTGAACTGCGGACATGCCTACAGACAGGCACCGTGCTGCTGGACCTGGAGGGATATTCACTACCACAGATAATCGGTCAGCAACCGAGCTCTTTATTCTCGGTGCTTGTCATCTAACGGGGGCTACTGATGTTTTCTGAACCATCAACACCTTTGTACAACAGATATCATCTTGCATACTGAAGTGTAGCTAAAAAAAAAGTTTATTTTTCATTGCTTTTGTCATGCATTGTAAAGTTTTGTTACCATACCAGTGTACTTTCAAAGCTAACCACTTTAACTTTTGTCTCCTGTAGATGACATCATCGAACGTCAGATAGAGGAAGGGTTGATTGGTCCTGAGCTGAGAGATAAAATCAGCTTTGTCCTGTTGAGAAAGCACAGACACCAGACAAAGAAGCCCATCCATCGCTCTCTTGCAGATCTGGGCAAGTCTGGCTCTGGAGTCAGTGAGTGTTCAATCTTCATCTCTTCATCCATCCCTACACATACTGTATTCTGCAGAATAGGTTGAAAAATGAATGAAGAAATTAAGAATAACTAAACCATAGCACTGCAGTGGAATTGCAGCATTCTCTTGTCAATTTGTAGATGCCTTGTGTGCATCTTCAGGTACGATGCAGCCTAATTGCTTGTTTTCTTAAAATGGCAGTTCATCCATTATCTGCTCACACTTTTGTTGTTCAAACTCTTGCAAAAACAAAATGAGTTGATCAGCAGAACATTCAGGCTGCTCTTTTCCACACAAAGTGAATATCAAGCTCAGAAAAGGACAAAAAGGAATTGACTGAAATTTAGGTATGAAGGACGTTAGACGATTTTCAGTAAATATGACTTTAGATTTATCCCACAGAGCTGTATAGCTTAAGAAAACAATGTTTCTGTAATGTTTTGCCCTTTTTGGAGCTTGACAGCCATTGATCACCATCCACTTTTGCTGTTTGTAAAAGACTGACATGGCCTTTGTTAAATTTGACCTGAACATTGCTGAATAAGATGATAAGGGCTTCAAGTGACTTTCTGATGAACAGTCCCCAATCCCATTTTACTTCTTTCCAGGGGTTATTTCATTGCTGTCCTTTTTTCGCAGTTCATTGGCATCAACTTATTAGAAGAACATTGTCTGCTTAATAGTTCATTTAAAAAGTTGTAATGTTGCTTGTGTCTCAAAGCTCGGAGCCCAGCCCGATCCCCCGTTGCTGGAGCAAATTTTAACTGCTCTACAGAAGATCTTCGAAGCAAACAAGCAGCCAACTATGGCCGACTACGTGAGTCTATGTGCCCCCTTTTCATCCTGTGATTCTTGTCTCCATTTTTAATTATTCTACTCATCTAGAGTCAGTGATCTGTTAGTTTGGTTAAAACCAAAAGTCCATTCTGCTTAGGATAATGTGACGTGTGTTTTTAATTTGCAATTTCATATAAAGCTTTTCGATTAAAGCTGCCTGCCAAGAGTTTTTAATTAGTTAGTGAGTGATGTCAGATTAGTTGTCAAATAGCTAGCTGATGGAATAAGGCTTAATGAATATTTAGCATTTTGATTCAATATTTGTAATGAGATTCCTGTGTATATTTGTGCCTGTGTGTCTGCAGGCCACGCTCAGAGCAGAAGTATGAATGACATTGCAGACACACCAAGCACAGACCAGGTGAGTCACATGGGATCACAGAGTGTCTTTATCTATACAAATGTAGAAAACCACAATCTTTCCAGGCACAACAGACTTTGTATAGTTCACAATAGCAGCTGCACGGATCTTTTGTGTTTGCTTTGAAGCTATTTGTATCTGCCGTTACCAATTTTCCTTCACTTTCAAAACAAAATTCAAGCAAGACAGATTCTAGAAATCGAAGTCTCTTTTGCTTTCTTCAGCATCATTATATTGGAATTTGATGCATGATTGAAATCAATTTTTTTCTTAATAAAAATTTAAAAGATATATTCTTAGCTACTTTAACTCCAAGAACACTGTTTTTGAGGTTACAAAAGAATCAACTGAAAGTCACCAAAATGAGAAAACCTTGCCATTCCTTTTAATAAATAAACATTTTACATAGTATAATTTGTGCCATTAAAGGGGTCATGTGATGTTGCTAAAAAGAACATTATTTTGTGTATTTGGTGAAATGAAATGTTTATGCGGTTTAAGGTTCAAAAAACACATTATTTTCCACATACTGTACATTGTTTCTCCTCTATGCCCCGCCTTTCTGAAACGTGTCGATTTTTACAAAGCTCATCGGTCTGAAAAGTAAGGTGTGCTGTGATTGGCCAGCTATCCAGTGCGTTGTGATTGGCCGAATACCTCAAGCATGTGACAGAAATGTTACGACCCTTACCATACTGTGATGCCCTTTCCGGCCGGAGCAACGAGACAAAAACATTAAAACCCATTATAAACGAGGCATTTGTTGCATCCAGTGGGGACATAATTACGGATTATAATGACTTATACTGTCTTTTTACACATTGCATCGCGCCGCATAAACATAAAACCACGTCTGCATTTGTGATCGGAGAAATGACAAACAACAAGCTCTACTCTACACTGCTCAAAACACGTGTTTGAATCATCAGTGGCAAATCCTTTAAATATGAAAAAGTACTTACAGTCTGTGAGTCAGAACAGCCGGCATTGTAGTCTACTCTCCCAGCATCAGGAAACAGTCCTCCATTAAATGCGCTGCACACATCTGAATATTTGGGTTAAACTGTTCTGGAACAGTGTTGTAAATACAACTTAACCACTGATTTCTAGTCGTGTCCTCTTTTGGAAGACCAAAGCAAGTAGTTTCGCTTTCACAACGAAACACACAGCGTCACACACGGCGGGCTAGAGTGAGCAGCGACCGGCGGCCTAGAGTGAGGAATGGCCGGCGTGCTTGAGAACAGCGTGGCCGGCGGATTCGACGAAGGAGCGGCCGGCGGGCTTGCGGCAACCACATGTGACGACCCTGGGCTGAACTCCGCTTCGTCCACGGTAATCAACAGTCCACAGGGGTGTGACAGATCGCCCCCCTCCCGGAAGGCGCGTCCTCGCACAGTGGAGACAGAGGGAGGGGCGGAGGGGGACTTAGGAGGAGGACAAAGGAGTGTATGTGGGATGGTGACAGGGGAAGGCAAAGGGCTGGCAGGCAGACATGACAGGTGGAGGCTACGGTGGAGGACGGACTCCCAGGAGGAGGATGACTAACAGAGTCCAGGGAGGTGACGATGGAGGGAGGAGCCAGGGAGACGACAGGAGGGAACCGGAGCAGGAGGAGGAACCAGATGGAACCCAGGCCACAGCCATGATAGCGGCCCACGGTGGAGCAGACGGAGGGAGGAGCCATGGTGGAGGAAGGGCTGACAACTCCAATGGGTCAACCGATGGCGGCGGAGCAGGGGGGGAGGAGCCTGAGGCGGAGAGCCGATGAGCCAGGGAGATGCCGAGGATCCGGAGGGCCAAGGCGGAGCAGATGGCGCCGGCGTCCGAGGCGGATCCGGGGATCCGGAAGGCCACGGTGGAGCCGGAGCAACAGAGGACTGAGGTGGAGCTGGAGGGAAGGAGGAGCCTGACAGAGCCTGAGGGACGGAGGGTCGAGGCGGCGCCAGATGAGTGGAGTCCCAAGGCGGCGGATGGTCAACGACTGACCAAGGCGGAGCCGGATGAACGATGGAGCCCGGTGGAGCTGGTGGACTGACGGGCCATGGTGGAGGCAAGGGAGCTAGGAGCCATGGTGGAGCCACTGGGTCGCAGGACTGAGGTTGAGCCTGGGCCTCGGAGGCTGAAGGCGGAGTCGAGGGATCCTCCAGACTCAACGCCAATGGAGCTGGAAATAGGCAGACCAGCGGCGTTATGCAAATCTTCCCACATCGTGACGTAGATGTCACGGTCACGGTGTGTGGAAACAGGCAGGAATGACGAAGACGACAAGAATTCCAATAAGCACTTTAATATCCACAACAGGTAACATCCCGGCAGAACATGAACACAAACACGAACACGAACACGAACACACACACACACACACACACGAACACACACGCACGCGAGCGACTGAGGTTGAGCCTGGGCCTCGGAGGCTGAAGGCGGAGTCGAGGGATCCTCCAGACTCAACGCCAATGGAGCTGGAAATAGGCAGACCAGCGGCGTTATGCAAATCTTCCCACATCGTGACGTAGATGTCACGGTCACGGTGTGTGGAAACAGGCAGGAGGGGCAGACAGGTGAGTACAATGAGGTGATTAACTAATAATGAGAACAGGAACAACCAAATAGGGACATGGAGGGAGAACCCACAATCAACAGTCCACAGGGGTGTGACAGTAGACATGTGGGGGCATGTTTAAACGAGGCGTTATAGGAGGCCGTGGTTGACTCTTAACTTTTATAAAGAATATCTCTTTGGATTTGAGACTTTAGTCTTTGCAACTTTACAGATCTTCTTTATGCACCAAGAGCTTGTAACAAATTGGAAAATTTTAAATCGCATCATATGACCCCTTTAACATAATTGTATTGATGTATTTGATAGTTTGTTGTTATGAGGAGGTCGCTGTGATTGTGTGTGGCTCTGCTGATCTGATGTGCTATGCTTTGCCATGGCCTGGTGTCTGGGTTGGTATTGATCTGCCATTGGGGAAATGGGCCATCTGACTGTGTGGTCCTCGTGCTAAGCTCTCACATGCAGAGAGATACCCGGAATCTGAGGTCTGATCCCTCTGGAAAATGGTGTCACAAATTTTGTCCATGGACACACAATGTATAAGGTTATAGCCACCAGTCATGACACTCATTTCTTACTGTCCTGCTTTTTTTCATGAAGATATATTATAACAGTGAAGTTTTCATTATTTTTACTTTTAAATTGTTAGTTTTGTTTGCCTGAACAAAAAGCTTCCATTAGATGGACAAAAGCAACATGATTATATCCAGACAATCAGAAAACACTGAACAGTCTCTTTGGCGTACTGAAACTGAACTTGAAATTTATAAAAACAGAATGAGTAGACTAGTATAATACTGTACACATCTCTATATAAGCATATTTCAATACAATGCTAAAACACTTGATTAAAACATGTAGACTACAGCTGAAAAGTTTGAGGTTAGTAAGATTTGTTAACAAGAAATTCAAATTTTCATTAAGCAAGGATGCATTCAATTGATCATAAGTGACAAAGATTTCTAAAAGATTTCAATTCCAAATAAATGCTGTTCTTTTTCTATTTGATAGAAAAATAGAAAAAGAAAAAATTTCTATTTATCAGAGAACCCTAAACACATATCACATTGACAATAATAAGTTTTTTTTTCTTGAGCACCAAGTAATTAGCATATTACAATGTTTTCTGAAGTATCGCATGACTCTAAAGATGGAGTTCAGCTCTGCTATCACAGAAATAAATTACATTTTAAATTATATATTAAAATATAAAACTATTTTTTAAAATTGTAATATTATATGACATTATTACTATTTTACCGTATTCTTAAAAATTATTCAGCCTTGGTAAGCATAAGAGACTTCTTTCAAAGAAGACTTCATACGAGACATCTTTCATTAAAAACCAAAAGTTTTGAATGATAGTTTAAATCATTGAAAAAATAACTGAACATTTATATCTAGACTTTCCCTCAAAAGGCTGTCAGTATAACTTTTGTAGGACTTCCAAAACCATTTTGTGTTGTTTATAGAGATGGGAAAATGTAAAGCATTGTATGGAGGAATTCCATCTGTTATCCAAAGAAGTTAGATATTTTGGTTTTTAGAATAGGCCAACATAGAAACACATTGAGCTTTGTCTGCCAGATAAATCAGCGTAGCATTTCTGAACTCCATTCTTACGCATCCCTGACACACAATGTGAAGTTGAGATAGAATCCTTCTACATGAACGTTGTAACGCCAGTGGACATATGCTTGAATTAAGATTTGTCAGAGAAAAAAAAAGAGGAAAGCAGAGAGATTAATATAAATCCAGACTGCACTTTACTCAAGGGCTTCAGATGGAATTGTTCTGTCTTCAAAGTGATAAAGGCTGCAGACATTTTAGTAATAGAGTTTAAAATAGTACAAGTAAATGTGTGTCAAGTCAAGTCACCTTTATTTATATAGCGCTTTTAACAGCATTAATTAGGAAAATTAATGTGTGTCAATAATGCTAAATGACAATGTGTGTGAAAAGTTTCACAGACGGTAAATAGCAGTAAATCAACTTTTGTGTTGAAGTGTGCAGTTCCAGATTATTGGCACATATAAAGAGCACAAGATATACATTGTATTTGTATAGAACCTTTCAATGATAAAAAGCAGCACACATTGAAATGACAACATAATGGTCCTATGATGAAACAGAAGGGTTATATAACATAATGGCCCTGTGATTGAACAGAAGTGTTAAATGACAATATAAGGGTCCTGTGGTGGAACAGAAAGGGTCAAATAACAACATAAAAGTCCTGTGATGGAACAGAAGGGTTAAATGACAACATATGGGTTAAATGACAACATAACGATTATATGATGGAACTAAAGGGTTAAATGACAACTTAACCATCAGATGATGGGACAAAAGGGTCAAATGACAACATAAGTGTTCAATGAAAGAACAGAAGTGTTAAATGACAATATAAGGGTCCTGTGGTGGAACAGAAAGGGTCAAATAACAACATAAAAGTCCTGTGATGGAACAGAAGGGTTAAATGACAACATATGGGTTAAATGACAACATAACGATTATATGATGGAACTAAAGGGTTAAATGACAACTTAACCATCAGATGATGGGACAAAAGGGTCAAATGACAACATAAGTGTTCAATGAAAGAACAGAAGTGTTAGATGGAATGAAAGGGTCAGATGACAACATAAGTGTCCTGTGATGGAACTGATGGTTTAAATGACAATATAAGGGTTCTGTTAAATTACATCATAAAAGTCTTTTGATGGAACAGAAGGATTAAATTGCAACCTAAGGGTTCTGCAATGGAGCATAGGGGTTCATTGACAACATAAGGATCCTATGAAGGAGCAGAAGGGTTAAATGCCAACATGAGGGTTCTGTGATGGAACAGAATGGTAAAAGACAACATAAGGATCCTACTGTACCTATTAAATCGGGGGGGTTTCACTTTTATTTCAGCTGAAGAACAAGTTTATGAAAAAAATCCCCAGAGATGCAGAGGCATCAAATGTTCTGGTTGGAGAAGTGGACTTCTTGGAAAAACCCTTTGTTGCCTTCGTTCGGCTGTCTCAGGCCACCACTCTTGGAGGTCTGACGGAAGTCCCAGTGCCCACCAGGTAACAGATTTGCACATTAAAAACTCACAACATGTCTGCAGAAAGATTATGGAAAAAGTTTAATGAACTAAAATTAAGTTTTGAATATGTTTTGTCTTAATGAACAGATTCTTGTTTGTGCTACTTGGTCCTCCTGGCAAAGCCAAATCTTACAATGAGATTGGACGTGCCATTGCCACGCTCATGGTGGATGATGTAAGTTTGATTGTTTTGTTTGTTTGTTATGCAATTAATATTTTTAATACAGTCTACAGTAAGTTCTTATCATTCTTAATGTGGGATTCTTCCAAATAATCCTGGGTAAAAAAAGATAAACTCATACATTTAAAAAGATCCAAGACTGAGTTCCTCTGTTTTATCCATAGCTCTTCAGTGATGTAGCATATAAAGCCAGGGACCGAGAGGATCTGATTGCTGGCATTGATGAGTTTCTGGACGAGGTGATTGTGCTTCCACCTGGAGAATGGGACCCCAAAATTCGCATAGAACCCCCCAAAAAAATTCCCTCAGCAGACCAAAGGTAAAACTCATTCTTCTGCAGCTTTGGTTGGCCCATAAGTTTCCCATCCTAACATTCCTCTTTGTTTTCTCGGAGAAGGAAGTCTGTGTTTTCCCTCAATGAGCTGGGTCAGATGAATGGGACAGCAGGCGGCGGAGGGCCTGTTAGCGAGGATGAAGAGATGCCTGTTCCACATGAGCTTGGCGAAGAGCTGGCATATACAGGGAGGTGGGTCCATTGTTTCATCCATCCATCCATCTATCCATCCACCTAAAGTTATGTATTATTTTTCTTCTATCCATAAGGCATACAAACCAGGCATTTATCCAGCTGCATTAACTCAGTGCAACTTGAAAGATACAACACCAAGTGAAGGATATAACACCCACATGTCAGAAAAATAAAATAAAAACCAGAATCACTTAGTTGAAAAAAAGGATCACCCCCTTGTGTCAGTATTTTGTTGAACCACATTTTGCTTTAATTACAGCCTTTAGTCTGTTGGGATATGTCTCTACTAACTTTGCACATAAAGGCTTTGCAATATTTGCTTCAGAGTTACTGTAGGCCTCTTGGTAGCCTCTCTGGCCAGTTTCCTCCTGGCACTTTCATCTAATTTGGAGAAGGTGATTAGCAACACCTGATTGAGTTTACAAGTAATATATTTATGAGGGGGGGTAATCCTTTTTCCAACTCAGTGATTCTGTTTTTGTATTTTATAATTTTTTTTCTGACATGTTGGTGTTATATCTTTCACTTGGATGTTATAAGTTGCACTGAGTAAATACAGTTGGATAAAACAAAAACTGTGTCCGTTTTCATTTCAGGCTGCAAAGCAACAAAATGTGATTATTTTAAAGGGGGGTGATTCTTTTCTATACCCACTGTATATTTTAACAAAATGGTCAAACTGACGTCATCAGAGAAGGAACGCCATTCCAGAGGGGAAGCTAATTTTCAGATTTTAATTAAAGATTACAATGGAAAACCATTTTTTTTTTCAGTGGATTAACTTGCACGGATTGATTGTTAACCACAAGACTAGCAATGTGCGCTAACAAAGAAAACAGTGTCAATTTTGATTCCATGCGGACTTTAAACATTTCTTAAAAATTTTCAAACAATATTTTTACAAGAAAACATTCAAACTGTTCTCTGTAAATTTAACGGTTCTAGATAAAAATGAATTATTTTCATTTGAATTCATTTCAATTTCAATTCTGTATCCTGTTTGCAACCTCCATTGTTTATTGAAATGTAAATGACATCTGCAATTAAGTTCTGAATGATTACAGCCCTGCTGACTGAGCATTCATCATGCTGATCTTCAGGACCTGAAGGTCTAGTACTTCAACCTTGCAGAGTCTCTAAAACACTTCGGCTGTACATTTTTGGTTATAGCTTGAGTTTCAGGAGCTTAAAGTGATCTTGCCTTATCTGTCTTTGCAAATAATTGAAAGATGCCTCAGAGCTCTGAGGTTCAGGAGAGTTCATATCTTGATCAATATATCAAAAAAGGAAAATGTAATGTGCTTTTTGGCACTTTCGCTCGAGGGCTTGTGAGGACTTAGAGATAGAAAATGGGTGCCAGTACTCGGTGCGAATAATCAAGATAGAGCTCACTTCTGTCTGTCTAACACAAGCTAAAGAGGACAGGTCTCTGTTGAATAATGGATTAAACGTCTATGTTTACGGGACAGGTTCTGTGGCGGCCTTTTCCTTGACATCAAGAGGAAGCTCCCCTGGTACCTGAGCGACTTTTATGAAGGCTTCCACATTCAGTCCATCTCTGCAGTGCTCTTCATTTACCTGGGCTGCATTACCAATGCAATCACCTTTGGGGGCCTTCTAGGGGATGCCACAGACAATTACCAGGTACACCTCACAGTTTTCTACTTGACAAAGAACATGACAGTTTGTTTAAATTTGCATGTCATCTTCTTTTCTAGAGATTTTATGAGCACACTTGTGACCCAGCTTCATCTATAGCTGTCTTCTTTTTGTCCCTCTCTTTTTCACCTTGTTTCCATGTCTCTGTCCCTGTGTAACTCTCTGTCAGGGTGTGATGGAGAGCTTTTTGGGCACCGCTCTAGCAGGAACGGTATTCTGCTTGTTTAGCGGTCAACCGCTCATTATTCTCAGCTCAACGGGCCCCATCCTCATCTTTGAGAAACTGCTTTATGAATTCAGCAAGTGAGAGAGTCCTCTGCACCAATCCATCATTATTTCACAGTCTATTATTGTGGACAATACAGTCTCGATTGCTCACTTTCATCAAACCCTTAAAAGACACTCATAAATCATCTCTCTTCACTGATCCAAATAAGTGACTTCTCTCTTGCTCTCTACTAGTGTTCACTGCTCTTGTATTTATCTCTCTTTATTGTTTCTTTAAACTTTTTTTTTCTTCAGAAATAATGGGATTGATTACATGGAGCTTCGACTGTGGATCGGAATACACTCCTGCGTGCAGTGCCTTTTCCTGGTCGCAACGGATGCCAGCTACATCATAAAGTACATGACGCGTTTCACCGAGGAAGGCTTCTCTAGCCTCATCTCCTTCATCTTCATCTCTGATGCCATCAAGAAGATGGTGGGAACTTTCAAATACTATCCCATCAACATAGACTTCAAACCAGACTACGTTACGGCCTACAAGTGCGAGTGTTTGGCACCAGACACGAGTAAGTCCATTCTTGGCATAGAGCACGTCAGTTTTGAAATGGTGGAGAAGTAATTGGGCAGTGAATTAGATGTAGAACAAATTTGCATTAATTTAGTGTGTCAGGATTTGTGCACTAAGAATAAATGGTAACACTTTACAATAAGGTGCCATTAGTTTACATTAGTTAATGCATTGTATCATGAACTAGCAGTGACCTACCATTTTTCTATTACATTTATTAATCTAGTATTCATCAAATATGCTACTGTTCAATGTTAGCTCATATTTGTCTGTAATATTTATGTTATTAATACTTATGGTTAACTGATGTTAATCAAATTTGTTTCGCTTTTTAATTATTTTTTTATTTTCAATTCTATTCTTTCATTTTGTTGAGGTTGTTTTAGCTTCAAATCATTTTTCTTATTTGTTTTTACTTAGAGCATTTAAGATTGATAACTGTCTTTAAAGTCGACATGAATAAAGCTATGTATATGTTTTATTTGTTTTTGTGCATTTATTTATTTTACATTTTAATCAAAATATCATAACTCAGTTTTTCGGTGAAATATTGGTGACATAGAAGTCGGTGACTTCTCTCTGGTGACATATACTGAACTTCTCCAGTGATTTAGTCCACCCCAAAGCTGAAAATTCAGCTTTGCCATTACAGGAAATAATTGCATTTTAAAATGATTTTAGTTATTTTAAATTGGAATATTTTCACGTATTTTGATCGAATAAATGCAGCCTTTGTGAGCATGAAAGGTGACTTTAAAAAATCTTGAACATTAATCTGGATGAATATGCTGTAGAAGTATGATTCGTTGTTATTTCATTAAACTTTAACCATTAACTTATGTTAATGAATCAAACCTTATTGTACAGTGTTACAGAATAAATTTCACTTTGGAGTCACTGCACTGTTAGTATGCATTAATTAACATGCCCAATAGTAATTTCTTGATTAAACAAATTTCCTTTGGGTGTTTGAAAAGAGCTGGCTGAGTGCATGTGATTATTGTAACTTATTTGTGTTATGTTTGTTTTTGCTGCAAACGCCAAACGTGGCCTCTGATTGATGTGAGTACTTTTTCATAAGCACGAGTTTAAATTGGACAAATAGCATGTTTTTTTTATGAGTTTGTGTTTATCATATGGCTTGCAGCAATGAATGTAAACTAGCAATGCAGTCTTTTGAAAGTGGTTTAGGCGTGCTGGATTGTTTCAAACACCAGATTAACATTTCAGTGGAGCTACGCCTGCAGTCATTTACAATGGCCAAAGCTGGCTTTGATCCTGGATAAATCCTTCTAACAAAGTATTATTGAGATTTCAATTTGTTCTGCTCATTTTCCTCTCTGATTCTCCCTCTCTCTGTTTGTTCAGTGGCACCAATGATCTTCGATGTTGTAGTCCCAGTGCCAGATAATTCCTCTGCTCTCTTTGGTGTAAGTGCCTCATGTCTTCACCTCACTCACATCTGTGTTAGCATGAGCTCAGATTAGATTACAGCTTTCGAATCCACTGTATTTGCACTAACTATCATTGATTTAATATCCCACGATGATACTTTGATACTTTTTTTGTATTATGTCATTATGAACGAAATATCAATCCAACATAAATCCAGTTAATGTATTACAAATGGATCGTTTCTTACTGATCTAGGTCTGCTGTATGTTTTTGGCCCTGTCCTGTTTTATTCTCTTTTTCTCTCTTTTTTTTCTATTTACCCACCACACAACCCTTCAATCCTTTGCCCTGTCTACAATCCTCCCTCCTGTCCCTGATTTCTACCTTTTTCTCTGTGTTTGTCCCATCTTCTCAGTTGAATATAACAGCTCTGGACTGGACTCAGCTGAGTAAGAAGGAGTGTGTGAAGTATGGAGGCTCACTGGTAGGAAAATCCTGCAAGTATGTTCCAGATCTTGCTCTCATGTCCTTCATTTTGTTCTTCGGGACCTACACTATGACTGTAACTCTGAAGAAGTTCAAATTCAGTCGCTATTTTCCCACAAAGGTAAGACCAGTGAAGTTTCTTTGTCCTCTTTCTCACCAAACTCCTGCAAAAACAGATTTTCACACTTGCACTTTTCTGTCATTCACTTCGACCTTGTTAGTATCCTGGACATGTCCTTTCCTCCTTCAATTTTTCTCTGCTATGGCAAAATCTGACTGACTATATCTTGTTTAAGATAAAAGTTGTCTCTGTTCTTTAATTCTGCATGATCCTAATAGCTGATGGGATTTAGTAAGATCAATAGGATCTTTGATAGTGTTAGTGCTTTATACCTGGAGACTCATGAAAGGTAAACAAGGTCATGTGGTTTTAATCATGCTTGTGACGCACAATACTTTAAACTGTTTATTTAAACCATGTATTTATGCTATGCACTTTTTTAATATATATGATACATATTTTTTTTAGAAAAAAGGAGAAAAAGCTGAAATCTTTTTAAAAGTACATTACCAGTTAAAAGTTTGGAATGATTATTATTATTATTTTTAGTCTCTTATGCTCACCAAGGCAACTTTTTTTTTCATTGAAAATATTAAGCTGCAGAACTGTTTTCAACAATGATAATAATAAGAAACATTTCTTGAGCACCAAATCAGCATATTAGAATAATTTCTGAAAGATCGTGTTATGCTGAAGACTGCAGTAATGGCTGCTGAAAATTCAGCTTTTGCCATCACAGGAATAAATTACATTTTAAAATATATTAAAATGAGAAAACATTATTTTTTATTTTATTTTAAATTGTAATAATGTTTCAAAATGTTTTACTCTATTTTCAATCAAATAAAAAAAATGCAGCTCAGTCCATGAGAATCTGAATGCAATAATAATAATAATAATAATAATAATAATTGAATAATAAATAATAATAATAGGTGGCTAGTTTGCAGCTCAATATATTTTATGTAGCTTTGTGATCTATTTCTGCAGGTGCAACTATGTGTATATATATACATATATTTATTTATTTTATTTTATTTTTCTTTCTATCTAGCTTAGGAAGTTGATTAGTGACTTCTCCATCTTCATGTCCATCATGACATTTGTGGGGCTGGACATGCTAATAGGTTTGGAAACTCCCAAACTCATTGTGCCCACAGAGTTCAAGGTGAGAGTAAATGAAGTTCAGCTCACATGTGCTGGAGAATAAAACTGATCTTGATTTTTTTTTGTGACTTTTCAATAAAGGCTCTTCTTTAGTTTTTCTCATTGTTTTATTGGGTATTTCCTTTTCAAATCACGTAGCCCACACGCGCTGACCGGGGTTGGTTTGTGATGCCATTCGGAAAGAATCCGTGGTGGGTTTACCTGGCAAGCTCCGTCCCTGCACTTCTCGTCACCATCCTCATCTTCATGGATCAGCAGATCAGTGCTGTCATTGTCAACCGCAAGGAAAATAAGCTAAAGGTACCGGTGCAATGAGCAGATCTTTCATCACCCCTGTTCTTTTCATTGCCATTGAGTTCCTCACATTCTCGCTCTGTTCGTTACAGAAAGGTTGTGGGTATCACCTGGATCTATTGTGGGTGGGCTTTCTGATGGTAGCCTGCTCTTTTATGGGCCTGCCGTGGTACGTGGCGGCCACTGTCATTTCCATCGCTCACATTGACTCACTGAAGATGGAGAGCGAGTCTAGTGCTCCAGGAGAACAGCCGCAGTTTCTGGGTGTGAGGTGAGACAGACATATACAACTTGTTTAGCAACCATAGCTGGTGTGTTGTGGTCTCACACTGATGGTGTTTCTGATTGACTCTGTACAGATTTTCAGCTTACCATGTTAATTATTTCCTTTAATAACAGCCATAAACTATAAAACGTTTATTGAGAGTGGGCTATTAAGACTTATTACAAACTTGATTGTCATAAAATCTAGTTTGCACGAAGAGGCGGACCACCTCCAAATGCTAATTAATCTACATGGAACAGATGCCAGACCTCAAAATGTAGCTATAAACGGCTTAAATCATCTGGATACAGCTGAAATGCTTAAATAAATGCATTTGAGAACTGTGTTTGGTGTGATCACTTGCTATCATGTTATGACAAATGCTATGTTTAAAAATGTACATTAAGTCAAAAATGGAAACAACACTAAAAAGGCTGCCAAAGTAATACATGTAATAAGTTGCTACTTTGTTGCAGCATAGCTCAACACAAATTATACAAATACATATGCTGTTCAGTACATATCTGAGTTCTCCACTCACAGAAAGATTCTATTGTCTCTTTTCTCTCTCTCTCTCTCTTACTGCTTATCTTCCAATTACAGAGAACAAAGGCTGACAGGAATCCTGGTCTTTGTGCTGACAGGAGTGTCTATCTTCTTGGCCCCCATCCTGCAGGTGAGCTTGTTAAAATGATAGAGATAATTAATACTGACTCTGACCTATTATTTAGGGTAGATTAGCAATTATTATCATGAAAAATGTTCCATGTCTGTATGATCAGCTCTACTTTAGCTGTACTATTTCGAATGGGGAAAGAACAAACCAGTGTTATGTACACTACTGTTCAAAAATCTGGGGTCAGGATTTTTTGATGTTTTTGGAAGCAGTCAGTTATGCTCAACAAGTCTGCATTTATTTGATTGAAAATACAAAAACAGTAATATAGTGAACTATTATTACAAAATTGAAATAACTGAATATATTTAATACAATACATTACTCCAGTCTGCAACTCAAGTCTCGTGATCCAGCAGAAATCATTATATTATACTGATTAGGTACATAAGAAGCTATTATTATTATTATCATCACAGTTATAAACAATATTTATGTGGAAATGATGATACATTTTTATCCAGGATGCTTCTAAAAAGAAAGTTAAAAGAAAAGCATTTACTAAAAATAAATCTTTTGTAACATTATAAATGTCTTTACTGTTTGTTTGTCAGTTTAATGCATCCTTGCTGAATAAAAGTATACATTTATTTTCCTTTCATTTCATTTTCTTTTCTCTCTTTTTTTTTTTTTTTTTAAATCTTACTAAACCACAACTTGTGCACAATGTATTTATGTATTTTCTAAACTGAATTTCTAAAACAGTTAAAGGGAACACGGCATAGCAGCCTGAAAGTCATCTTCAACTGGTCAGATGCAATCATCTTACAGAGGTTTTATTCATCAGTAAATTGATTGGATGGTGGAAAGTGGGCGTTATACTGAATAGACTGAGAAAATGAGTTCATGTTTATTAAGATTTCGTTTTGCCTTCATGTTGACTTTAAATGTAACTGCTGTTGCCTTGGCAGCTGAAGTGTATGTATTTGTTTTCTGTTTATAGTTCATTCCTATGCCGGTCTTGTATGGAGTCTTCCTCTACATGGGTGTTGCTTCTCTTAGTGGCATCCAAGTAAGTGCCTTTAGGGATCTAACCTTTTCCCAACCCCTCCTCCTTCTCCTCACAGCCATTACCAATCTGTTTGGAACAGCTCTGATAGCCGATGTACTTTTATTGTTTTTGACATTCCTACGTTTTAATATCATAGAAAATGTTCAAACCATACAGGGAAAACATTACAACTTGCACTTTGTGTGAGAGTGTAACACTCATTTGCATGCACGCTACAACTGTGTTTAGTGATTAGAAATGAGTGATTTCTCCACGCTGTGACAGTGCAGGGATGGAAGAGCGTGGTGTTGTGGGAATGGATATTTGCATGCTGGCTGGGTTTGCTGAGGCAATTTTGAGCTGCATTTTGATGAGGCTGTCAGACTGCAGTGAGAATCCACCCTCTGTGGCCAGGTGCTACTTTTCTGTTTCTCTAGTAGTAGTCCAGTTTAATGTCAGTTAGAGAACAAGAGGAGGACAAAGGCAAAATGATGGACCTCAAGTGGAGAACTTTGCAATATTCTGAATGAATACAAATGTATTTTTGTTCTTGCTGCTTTGAGGCTAAATGTTTAAAAGCTGAGTTTGACTCTAAATAGCAGTTTGTTCTTTCATATTTGTCAAGCTTTGGCATGTAGATTGTTGATTGTCTTATATAAGTGAGGTAAAACAATGGACAGAAAAAAATCAATAATGTCAATGTCAAACAAAATGACTTTGTTGTTTCTGACTCTCTCACTCTCGAGCTTCAAAAAGTACATGATAGCATTATAAAAACATCATAAAAGTTGTCCTCACGACTCTTGTGCTATAGGTTACATTTCAAGTCTTCTAAAGCCATCTGATAGTTTTGTGTGAGGAAATGATCAAAATGAAAGTTGTTCTTCACTGATAATCTTACCTTTAAATGAACTGCAACTAGATCATTGAGTAAGTCGAGAACCTGATAAATCCGATTAGCGAATAAATCTGGATCGCAGGTACTGTGTGCTCAAACTACACGTTCCCTACCGTGACCTCTTACAGGCGCCAGACTCCAACTCAGAGTGGGCAGCACGAGGCCAACCAGGCAGTTACTACTACTGATACAGGCTTTGATAGTTTTTTAAAATGCGAGAGCATTTCCTCTTAAAAACACATCCACTCTACTAAAGACTGCATTAATACTTACAGTAGAACTAGATGACATGGTTTAGAGGTAGCTCTCTGCATATTAAATGTATAACTGCTAAGACCAATAAATAAGGTCATGCAAGACCTTGTATATAGTATTTTGCTATATTCTCATTGCCCTTGCCATGCGCTTTGAACCAATGCAGATAGAATTGTTTTCATGCAACCACCAGTATTTTACTCTGCATGCTATTATATAAAATGTGTGATTATTTTGTGTCATGCATATTGTTTTTCTTTTGCTTACATTTTCACACCTAAAGAACACACCTATAATTATTGAACTTCCATTATTAGATGTGGGTACAGTTTCTATTTATTTCGTTGAAATACTGGGAAAGATGGCAGTGAGAAAAGTTTATATTTGATTTACTTTTTTGCAAGCTTTTTAGTAGTTATAACGTGTGTAATGTAACAGTGTATAAGAATTTTGGTTGTTTCTTTCCCTGTATAATTGCGATTCCAATAAGTGTGCTTATCTAGAATAACTGTGCTTTCTAGGGTTCCCCTCCCCCCCAGCCTGGTTCCTCTCACACTATATCCACATCCACAACCCATTCTCTGTATCACTCTGATGTAGAAATGATGTAAAATCTGCTGGGTTTCATGTCTGCATTGCTGTTCAGGGGGCATGGTTTGGATGAAGTGTTCACTTCAACAAAGGTTCAATTAGTTAACATTAGCTATTGCATTAGGCATCATACTGAACTATTATCATAATAGATATTATAGCATTTCTTAATTTTTACATATACTATATGTATATGTTAATTGTTAATGTTCATATATATTCAACATTTTATAATAAAACTATTACTTTATATTATATTTTCTATATACAGAAAATATATATGGGGTCAGTAAGATTTCATACATAAGATAAATGTATACTTTTTTGAGCAACAACAAATTAAATTGATCAAAAGTGACAAGACTTTCACGTTGTTACAAAAAAAAATGGTAAATGCTTTTCTTTTGAACTTTCAATTTATCAAAGAATCTTGAAAAAAAAAACTATCTACATATGTTTCCACAAAACATTAATAAGCTAATAAATAAGCTAATATGATTTCTGAAGGCTCAAGGCTGCTGAAAAAACAGCTTTTCCATCACAGGAATAAATTATATTTGAAATAGTTATTTTAAGTTGTAATATTTCACAATATTAGTCTTTACTGTATTTTGATCAAATAAAATCAACCTTGGTGAGCATTAAAATATTTTTTTTTTAAATACTGACCATTGAAAATGTTGAAAATTTAATATATTACATTATATATTTTATATTTTTGAACAGGAATGTTAAAAATAGATTATAAATGTCTGATATAGAAATGAACATTAACCAAAAACCAAAATTATTTCATGATTCCTAATGCAGAACCTTATTGTTAAGGTATACAATAGTTGCCCTGGTATTTATCACATTTAAACACTATAATCTCCTTAACCTAGGGCAAGCATACTGAGCCTTCTTCCTGATTCGGGTGTCCTCATCCACATTCTTTCCCCTGAAACACTTGTGCAGTCACCTGCATCTAACATCTTAATACAGACTGCTCCTCAGCTGTTCCTCCTTCCTGTAATTGCCCTCGCCTCTTACTCCTCCTCACTCTTGTAACTGGAAGTTGCCATTCCACAGCATCACTCTGCATCTGAAGATCTCCTGTCCATCGTCCCCGGCGATGCCAATGGCCAGAGGGATGTCCTGCCCCGTGCCCCAGGTGAAGATTGAGATGGAGTCGGACTATGACGACACAGATATTAACCCTAGAGGCAGACACAGAGATCACAGGGACATGAGCAGCGAAACAACGCTATAATGTCGGTTCTGCAGTTGTGCAGTGTGGAACATTGCACGCTCCGTCTCAGCTTGTTTGAAGATCCTGTGTCGCTAACACACACGTTCATGTTCACTTATGATATACAGAACGGATCAGACAGCACTTTATGGATAGACATAACGATATGCTATTAATGCATTAAACATCATTTTTGTTTCTAAGTAAAAAAAAAAAAAACAGCTGTAATTGCAGAAAATTTTATTAATTGGAATCAATATAACACCATATATAATGTGAAGGCAGAAATATTATTTTCTTACTACAAATGAGAATATATTTGAGACAAAATCAGTTTATATATATATGCAGTGAAAACTTTTTGTATTTTCATTTTAGAAAACTAGGTCAACTTTATATTCAAGATTCAAGTACCTTTGATATGATGATTACAGGGATAAACAATTATGATTTTTTTTCCCTCTGTAACTGCTACCTCTGGGTCTAGTAGTGTTGCCTTTCTCTGAACAGTCATGCTTTTCCTTCCTTTCCCTTTGTTGTCCTGCTTATAACACTCAAAAATCAAAGTTGGGGAAAAGAAACAACCAAAGAACAAGCTCTGAAATAGCAAACAAAACAGATTTTGGCCCGAAGGTTTCAGAATGTTTGTGTGACTTGTGTTCCGTGTATGTTGGATGTTTTTTTCTGTATATGAATAAGTGTAAATGGAAAGGTTGCAAATGATGGATATTGGCCAACATGAGATTTAACCGCTGTAGGAATAAAAAAAATAACTTTTTATAAGGTTCTTTACAAAATAATAATTCTGTTAGTATTGCTATAAGCAATAATTCTGTTTCCTGGCAACTTGCATTTTGGTCAAGGAAATGAGGTGGGCGTGGCAGATTAAAAATATTTACTGAAATTAATGTTTTTGTACATATAAGCCATATACCAATTATTATTCTTATTTTTGTTTGTTTGTCTGTTTATTTATTTTAATGTACATCTCAAATTCCTTGTATATATTAACAGTTCATCCTAAAATAAGACATTGACTAACATCAATAGCAGGTTTAAAACCACTACATTTACAATCATTTGGATATTTAATCAGGTCATTTACAGTCAAAATTACCCATAAACATAAATCAACTCTTATACCTTTAGTACTGATTTTGAAGAAGGCACCAACATCATTTTACCGATTGCTGACCCACTAAACAGAGTACAATAAATTAGACAAAAATCTTTAGAACAGCATCCATATGCATTGAACAACATCATGTTAAAGAACATGACAATGTACTACTAGTGTCGTCAGGGTCCATGGTGAAGCCATCACTGAATCCGTCACTCTCCACTAGTGTGGGTCTCTTACCACACATAGGGCAGAGTTTGTTCCTCTCATGTGAAGCTCGCATCCATATGATCAGGTTCCAGCGTGTGCCTGAGGAGATGGGTAGAGCTCCGTGCATGTGCTGGCCTCTGTGAAGCAGACCTTCAGTTACATGATGCTCCACCTCCACACACTCCGTCTCACTCAGAGGCACCTAAAACAAACGTACATGATCAGGACATTGTAAATACACCCTTAACATGTATTACTAGGCTGCATGCTTGTGCTGCCCACTGTTTCATCCAAAAGATTCAATGCCTTTGTAAAGTGAACTATAATCATGAAATAAAATCTCTTCTTGAAGAAAGTGTTCGCTTGTGCTTTTAGGGGGGGTTGAATGGTGAATGTGATAATATTTCATTTTATTTTATTCAACTGACTGTATGCATTAAGATTATACATTAAATCAGGTTTTCCAAACGTCTTGATGCAAAGGCCCCTTAAGTAAGGACTCCCCTTTTCTATATATATACACTGATTTGTACTGGTTAGCGTGTGAAAATGATTAGGCATGATATTATGCATGTGGTTTCCAAAAGTAAATAACTGACATTTAAATTGTTAATGCACATAAAGCCATAGCAAATTACTATATCTATTATAAAATCTATTTAAAATGTATTATACTAAATTTTAAATATTTAATCTAGAAAATACTCAGAAAGAAAATATTCAGTTTGTATTATGTTGTATTAAGCATTTTTTCTACCCAATATTAGCGCTTAATTAGACTATTAACTTGTTAATTTTGAGAGGCCAGATGTGTGTGTGTGTGTGTGTGTGTGTGTGTATATATATATATATATATATATATATATAGTTAGATGTAGAAGCTTGAATATTGATATAAAGAGTTATTAATATCTCAAGTTTGACAGGCCAAAAACTGTGTGCGAATTCTCAAAAATATATTATAATCATCAGATCATTTTCAAGCTCTTATTATAAACTATAACTCCCAGCACCTGTCTCATGTCTCCAAAGAACAGGTTCCCTTCCGTGAACTCTTTCCCCAGTGATACATTGAGAGTGACTTCAGCGTTGTCATAATGATAGCTAAGGTCCAAGTCTTCACGCATAGCATACTTGACCACGAAAGCCTTGTGACTGTCCAGACAGCTTCCTCCACAGTCGCTGTAGAGCAGAGCCGTGAGTGGATGCAGATAGACCTCCCTCAGTGGGATGATGAAACTCTCATCAAAGCCCAGTTCACTGAGGAGAATCTGTATTCATTGAGAGAGATGTCAGATTATTATTAAACAAAGAACAATATTAGTCTGCCTTTTAATGGCAATATCAATCACACAATCTGGGTTAAGTGTTTATGATAAAAATGTGTACTCCATAATTGTTCATGGTGTTCGGCCGGCCCTTCGGTGCGTCAGACTGTTCAAAATGCTCCAGCTCTTCTATAAAGTCCTTGCAGAATTCCTTTCGGAACACCGGGAATCGGAAGACCCTTGGTGCTGCAAAATATACAATTTGTTGGCATCATTTTTCCATAATGTCCCAGCCTCAGAGGAGACAAGAGCAGTGGATTTATTTACTGTATCATGTATAATTATAATAATTTCCATAATTTGGAAACTGAGAAAAGAAGCAGCTCACCTGCCTCTGTCTGAATGAGATTCATCAGTCCTTCCATGGTTGCATCAGTAGAAGTACAGTATTTTACCAACTGTAAAAACTCTGGGGCCAGGAATGACTCCTTGCATGGGATAGATGATATTATAATAGATCAGTGAACGATTCTGAATCATAGACTACCTGCACTGCTGAATAGAAGTACCTGTAAATAATAAACATGTTGATGTAGAGGTGTATAAATCTCCTTGATGGTAGCTGCTCTCTCTGCCGATTTCAATTCATAATGCTGGCGTCTCTCGATTTCCGCATGAATCTATAAATAGACGACTGAGTAAATAACCACCCTCTTTACAGCCTTGATGTCCATCGTTATCACAAGAATGAATTCTGCTCTCTCACCTTTCCAAGCACGTCTCTGAACTGAGATTCAGACACACAACCCAGGGATCTGAGGATCTTAAGCAAATGTTAGTGGTGTACAGACACAATGGCTAAGTATTTAACATGAAGACATTTGACATTGTTGTTGTCCAAAGAACTTACATTTTGATAGTCCTTCCTGAACTGGTTCTCCGAAACGAAACGCACGTGAAGTTTGTATTCTTCAAGAAAAATATTATCTCTGAAAAAACAACTGCACGTGTAAAATCTCTCCATAGTGTTTTCAGATTTGACTAATACAGATTGTGTAATTCTAACTACATACTGCTATATATTTATACAGGTCTAACAGCTGTTTATACAACTCTCGAGCCCGGTGGGTTAGACCAGAACTGTCAATCTCTTCAGAGCTCCGCCCACTCACGGAATGTTTTGGAACAACCAGAAATATGTCCGTAAAGAAACAAACTGCTTCACTAAAATAAATACATAATTAAAATAATCAGATTTAATGATGCTACATTTTTCTGTGTAGATGAGTATAAATATTCGAGACATATCTTGCATGAGTTCCTATCTCAAAAGAGTGATAAAAGTAATGTTTACATCCTGGTACGTCACTTAATTCCTTCCGTCCGACTGACTGTTATTGTGTGTGAGTGTGCAAATTCGAGGCAAAACTCGAGTTGTTCAGAAACACGTTTTACTTGTCCCCTGTAGTTTTTAATTTAAAATTGGATAGTTATTTAGCTGTGCCATCTGGTATGTATTTAAAGCCTGCGAGCGTATATTGGCAGCAGAATGTTGAGTGTGGACTCGTTGCCAGTTGCCGAGGAGGAGGTGGTGGAGTCCTGCTCTAACAGACTGGGGGACATTTACACGTTTGTTGCCGAAGGCTGTTATCCTCAAACCGTGAATACTATTCGCAAGAAAATCCTTAAAAGATATGCTCGGAAATTTATGATTGACGGTGAGAGCAAATCTTGCATATGTTACATCAGAATCGTTATAATATCAGTACTCTCTCTGGAGATTACTTCCATCAGTTCCCTGGAAACATTGTTTAAAGACAGAAAGCTTTTTATTTTCATTTCTCATGTTACTATGTTAACTTTGACAGGCTGAACAATAAACTGTTTTTTGTGTGTATTTGTAGTAAGGTCATTTTTTTACATTACAAATGAACAGTAACTTAGATGTGTTTATTTAATTGTTTGTTTATTGTTTAGTGCTTTGTTTTGATATCTCTTACCTTTCTCTATGATCAATTCTATAGATGGCCGGTTGTATTATGTGGGCCCAAAGAAAGAAGAAAAGCGAGAGGTAGTGATTGAGGCAGAGCGGAAGAGACAGATATTCCTGGAGTGTCACTTCAATGACATTGGGCATCACCTGGGACAGAAGAAGACTGTTCACAGGATTCAGAGTAAATACTACTGGCTTGGCATTGTCAAGGATGTTGTGGATTGGGTATGCAGTGGATGTCATCAATCTCACTCTTTTAGGAATGGAGGTGTTTGGTATTGTCATGTTAGTCATTCATGCCGTCATCTACAAGTCACTCTATCATCTGTTTCAGATTAAAGTGTGCGAAACGTGTCAACACGCAGAGCGAAATAAAAACCTGGCTAGAACGGTACGGCCCATCAAAGTGGACGGTCCTTGGGACATTTTGGCAGTTGAAATAATTGGTAAAATTTTGGATGGGACTTTTAAGCAGTCTAGTCTGTCACACATTTGCCCAAATATTGTAACCAAATGTCTTCACAAACAGGTCCATTCCCAGGCACTGTACATGGAGGGAACACACACATTGTTATTATTACAGATTACTACAGTAAATGGGTAGAGGCCTTTCCTGTACAAAAGAAAGATGGTCTCTGTGTTGCACGATGCATTTCATCATCTGTTTGCAGGTGAGATAAAATTGCACCATTAATGAAGAATAAATATGCTGATTATTGCTAAAATGCATTTTTTCCCCCTCCAGATTTGGCCCTGCAAAGACAATATTTTGCTCTCAAAGTGCTGACTTCTGTGAGGAGGTAAAACAGTTTGTCAAAATACCAACCTTTTATGCAAAACTGGTGTTCAACTGTATTTTAACAGCATTATTATTGATTATTATAGGTTACAAAGCACCTGTGTGACCGGTGGAACATAGCGCAGAGAGTGTTGTCCGTAGACCAGCCGCAGCGGAACGCCCCGTATGATCGCAGCAGTAATCTGCTCAGAGATGCCATAAAACAGATGGTAGTGGAGAAACAGGTGGAATGGGATGATTTTCTCGATTCAGTTTTGGCCACCTTCAGGACATCAGTCAACCCTACAACAAAATTTACACCACACTTTTTAATGTTTAACAGAAACGCCAGCATATCTAGTGAGGTAAGAAAATTAACTTTTAAAGGAGACATATTATGCCCCTTTTTAGTAATATAAGTCTTTCTGGTGTCCCCAGAGTGTGTCTGTGAAGTTTCAGCTCAAAATACCCCACAGATCATTAATCATTTATTATATCATTTTGAAAATGCCCATTTTGAGTGGAAGCAGAAACACGTTGTTTTTCGTGCCTTTCTCTTTAAATGCAAATGAGCTGCTGCTCCCTGCCCCCTTTTCCAGAATAGAGCTGTGCCATTACAGCTCATACCTGCTAAAAACATCTGTTTTGGTTCTGATTATCATGTTTATCGCACTGAAATCATGCGTTTTTAAACATATTAGTTTAAACTTCTGAAATATGGTTTTCTGAGTGCGCATGGGCAGAAAGCGGCTGTCACAGCATGTGAGTACTAAACAAAGTTCTCATTCACACACAAGTTTGTTAAAAACAGTAGCTGTTACAAAAACAGTCGGTTATGTCTGTGAAGGTAAACAGCTGGGAAATAAATTGCATGTTTATTTTAGATCTGTGTGGTGGCAGCAATATACAGTAAATAAATCAATAAATCCACTGCTCTCTTGTCTCCTCTGAGGCTGGGACTCTAAATAGTGTTCTGTGCTCGTCTGTGCAGCCAAAGACAGAACATTAGCATTAGAACTGGACTGGTACACCGTTGTCGCTTGCGAAATCAAATGACGGCGCCGTGAGTGAAAACTTACAGATTAAGGGACGGTAATATTATAATGAGATCCCTTTGCCACGTCACCAAGGGTGTTTTTTCAGACACTTGCAGAAAAGGCGTACCAAAACAAAGTTACTGGGTTAATCTTTTTCATGTTTCCTTGGTTGGTAGATGCACCGGGGACCTGATTATAGCACTTCAAACCTGGAAAAGTCAGATTTTCATGATATGTCACCTTTAAGATATGATCATTTTGTGATATGAATTAATGATTTAATGTAAGAAGTAGTGTGCTTTATTGAAAAAGTAGTCCATAAAAAACCTAATTAATCACAAATTTTTCTGTAAATAATCGCACCTAACATTAGAATTTAATCATAAATATATTTTCACACTTAATGTAGAAACAAAATAAAGACGGTATATTTTACATTTGTTTATTGGCATCTTAGCATATACTTGCTTGTAAGCACTATGAATGAAGGCAAGTATCAACGATTCCAAAACTGATGCTGATATCTGTTAAATGGATTCAATTTCTAGGAAGAAATTGAGTAAATACAGCCATTCAGCATTACAGTAAAATTTGTGCCATTATTTTAACATCCAATAAGCCTAAACTGTTACAGAACATTACAAAAAATTATAACTTTTAAAGTTAACTTAAAACAATCTTCACATGAACCTATTATAATAAATGCCACATTTAGCTGTGCCTTTAATTTAGTGTTGTATATAGAAATATAGTGCATGTTTCTGTCTCTGTCAGTGTTAGCTCCCTTTGTTTTAATGAGAGCTGTCAATCTAATTTTACCCCCACTAAGTTTATTTTGAGCATTCATTTTCACAGTTAATAAGAAAATGAATAGTTAAAAAATGTGGTATCAATATTTTTATGTGAGAATCAATCCTCTAGATACAACGTCAGTATCACAAGTGTTTACACTTATTTCCACACTTACACCTGCATGTCTTTATCTATCACAAGCACATCACTGACAGGATGAAAAACAGGTAGCCAGACAAAGCTTGAAACACACAAGTGTCCTGTGTGTCACACACATCGTCCTCACAAAGAGGAGCCAGAGGAGGTGATCATAGGATAGGTCTATATGCAGACCATCCTTGGTCGAACCCACTCTCTCTCTCTCTCTCTCGCTTCACAGAGCTGGTGCGTGGCACACAGATGGTAATAAGCAAGAAGTTACACTGACTGAATTGCTATTAATAATCAATTTCTTCTTTTTCTTTCTCATTTTTTAAAAACACAGTTTGATCCTCTTAGTTGCTATCAAGACCAGGAGGATGAGACTGTTAATGAAAAGGACACAAATGCTTTTCTTTCCTCCATGCACGAGCAACAGAATAACATCAAACAGATGGTAAAGTCTGGGCATTTGTTTTAGTTCAAATTTTCTTAGTCCTGTTATTTACTTATACAGTACGGTTCTCAATTCCAGTCCTTGCGTACCACCACTCTCACATTTTGTATGTATCTCTTATCACTTCAGATGTTTCTTCTATCCGACCTTAAGTGCCCTGTGAAGTGGACATCACAGGATATTCCGCCATGATTCCAGTTTGAAGGGAACGTATATGTTCCATTCAAAGGGCATTAAAGTGTGCAAGATGTGAATTTAAATTGTATTTATTTACAGAGGCCTATTATGTCACACTTCTCTAGTACGCTTCGTCTGTATGTGAGTGAAGACGCTGCAGTTGGTGGCATAGCTCAAATCTGTGAATGAATGTTCCAAAGTGAAGTAAACTTCAACTGATTTCCCATGCTCAGGGAGTAGGGAGCAAAGAACACTGTAGGGACCATGTCAATCGAAACAAAGTTTATGCATGGAGCTCTCTTCTAATGAGCTAACTGATGATCTGAATCAGGTGTGTTAAATAAGAGAGACATGCAAAATATGCAGAGCGTTGGTACGCGAGGACTGGAACGGTACAATAGAACAGACTGGAGCGTTCTATTGTACATGTTTAACAACTAGCATTTATTCAAAAAGCATGTCTAGAAACACTGATTTTAGTGCAGACAAGCTTAGAAACACTGATTTTAGTGCTTTGAAATTGTAATTTCACACCATTCTCCTGATAATGTTCTTTTTGCCTATACAGGTAGTAACAAATATGAATGTCGCATACAAACAAGAAAAGAAAAATGCAAAACGCACGGCTAGAAATATGCCTTCCATCACTCTCACTGTGACGGACCCATTGTTCACAGAGGAAACGCCCTCAGCAAAAAAGCTTAAGGAAAGCCTCTACCTGTGTTTCCCAGTTGAGACAGTCCTAACCACAGTCCAGAATGTAC